TCTAAACAACATGTATCACACAACTATATACACGGGATTTACTTAAAAGGCAGAATAAAGGATTAAAAAATAATTTTAAAAAACGATTAGTTCGGTGAACAACTAAGAACAAGTGACTTGTGACTCGGACTCGGAATCGAGGCTTGTGACTCGAGACTTGGACTCGGACTCGACGTTGGTAACTCGACTACAACACTGGTACTTGGTCACAGAGTCCACTGTACCTACCAGGTAATTCTGAGTTGACCACCCCAGGGTAGACAGGCAAAGGCCCCAAGAGGTGACGACATGAAGCTTGTCCCTCAGCTCAGGATGGCCCTTCATCTGTAAGGCCAGGGTGTTGGAGTTGATGCCTGTACCGTCTGCTGTCTTATTAAGGATCATCTGGATGGACTTCAGATGGGAACCTGGGCAGGAAAAAAAACATTTATGAGATGTAAATTAACCTTTTTTATATTTGATTTTTGTTTGCCCTTCGCTGACATATTTTGTAAACACTGTGCACTTAGTGTTGTCCGAAGGCTTAGGTGGGACTCAAACTAATGACCTCCTACACAAACAAAGTTGGGTTAAGCGCTGCTTCATCAGACTCCAAACGGCCAGCTTGCCACAGCAAGCTCAGTGGTCGAGTGGTTAATGCGTCTGCACTAGGAAGCAGAAGGTTGGGGGTTCGTGTCCAACCAGAAGTAAGCTTGTTGATTTTTTTCTTGCAAACCCTCGGAAAAAACTCAATGTTTACAGTGTTTGTAAAATACTTCAGGGAAGGGCAACAAAAAAAATACATATATGAAAAAGAAGATCAAATATTATATGGATGAAATCGAATACAGTTGATTCCTACTTTCTAATTCACAATTTCGAATTTCACAACTATGATCTATCCATATAGATTTGAGATGCAGACCAATGCAAATGAGTCTTCACAGATGTTTGTCTTACCTGACTGGATAATTTTACCGAAGAAACTGGCCTTGTTCTTCCTATCTTTTCGAGTCCTCGATGGGTAATCCCAAATCCGCTCAGTGAATGGACGTAGTTGTAGGCCCAAACAGATCCAGGTAGGTCCTCAAACATTTGATATCTATCATTGAAATATCATCAATACAATTATGATTAGCATTGAAATATTTACATAGAATCAGGGGGGGGGGGGGGGGGGGGGGGGGGAGGGATGTCAGGGGAAGAAAAGGGGTTGGGGATTATATCCCCCCCCCCCAAACAAAAATGGACAAACACACTTTCCCCTTCCCAATTGTCACATTTATGGAAGACAGTGTTCTAGTGAAGGTTTGCAGTTTGCAGTAACACCATGTAGGCATGCAGAGTCTCTTTTGGGAAGATGTGTGGATCTGAAAAGAACCACACATCTTCCCAAAAGAGACTTCTACATGGTGGCATCGCAAACCTTTACTAAACCATGCCACTACGTAGTTAAACCAAGTAGTTAGCTCTTGCAAATTGTCTTGCAAAGATGTTCCATCAACACAACTGAGAATATGACAACATCAACTTGATCGTCAGGCAAGGCAGAGACTGATTGCGAATGACAACCCCAGAAAGTGAAGAAGAAACTCTGATCAGATGACAACCAACATTTGCCCAGGAAAGAAAAAAAAGGCAACTGATGAACAGAAATCAAATTGTGATTTGTGAATAAAAACTTCCATTTGACATCATTCCTTATCAGATCAAATTGAATATCAAACAGAAGGGAAGTACAGAATTGTTGTATGGGTAAATAAATCAACATCCAGGGGAAGAACACAATTCATTTTGGGGAAAAAAATAACAAGGATTGATAGAAAAGAAAATCTCCTCTTTTTTTGCTGTTGTTTACATCTACATATACCTTTGTACAAAGTAATATTAGTGCTTAAAGATGATTTGAGTGAATGTTACTTTCCGTCTTCAGTAACATGACCAAATTGAAACCAACTACATGTACCAACTACCTGCTCCTCCTTCCAATCACATCCATATACTGTCACTATCCCCAAAGGCATTTTCAGGATGTATTCATCAAGTTTATTCCCACGTGACCGGTTGAACCAACTACAGGATGAGTCAAAAAGAAAGTGACCGAATTTGAAAAAAATGTTTAAAATATTTGGCTCGTTCTATCTTAATAAAAAAAAGAAGATAAAGTACATCTGATCAGACTTGTATGACTCGTGACTCGGACTCGAGTCCGACTCGAGTCACATTTTTAATGACTCGGACTGGGACTCGAGTCACTTTGACTTACGACTCGGACTCAGACTCGGGGCTACGGACTCGGACTTGGACTTGAACTGACTTGTGACTCGACGGAAATTACCGCACTGCACACGCGCACATACCGGTATATAATTCGATCGTTTTCTTTACTGTGCAATACATGTACAGGGCGCTCGATGTGGTGCGTGCGTGGCCGTGGCCGGTTACCGATATACAATGTACATGTATTGACTTATAGAAATCAATGTACTGAAACTTGTACCCTGCCATCAACACGCAATACTGCATTGGTGCAAGATTGATAGGATAAGGTACCAGACTTTTCTTGTCAGACGTCCTGTCGTTCACACGCATATTGCTGTCGCATCGCGATAACGCGATATGAATAGTCTGCTGATCTGCCCGTTTCGGTAACGTTACATGAAGGTCCGTCTACATGAAGGTCCGTCTAGCAATGAAGGTCAGCAAACAGACGATAGCTCCGCAAAACTTCAGCATCACCATCAGAGACATCTGTTACCCTCTACATGTACGTAGTAGCTCAAACATCCACAGACCTCCAATTGCCTTCCTCCTCCAATTTCTTAGACCTCCTCCTCCAATGTCTTCTAAGGATGTGACGTTTCATTTTGTAAATGTTTAGCAAACATTTAAAGAACCATCTCAATGTTGAGCCCTTTCACAAAGACTGACGACTGCCCATTGTGCAGACCAACATGATCGACACAACAAATAATAAATGAGTAACATAATAAAAAGAGGGCTGTCATTGAAAACAATAAAAAGATGAGCACGTAGCCTGAAAGTAATCTAGTACTGCAGTTCTCCTTAGCTTTTAGCAAATTGAATAGGTTTGGATTATTTTTGTTATGCATGCTCAACTCAAAGGAAGATAGCGGAAAATAGGTTCCTGTTTTTAAAATTTGAGTTTTGTTAAAACTTTTGGAAAAATACGATTTAGAATTTTGTTTATTATTTTAAATGTTTAAATGTGTAAATGTCACATCCACAATTTCCTCACTCCATCAATACATAGTTCCCCTTTTGCCTGTGGATTTCAGTTTAATGTTTACACTCAGCCTGCAGAGGACAAAAATACTTTTTGATATCAGATTTTATATATTTATTGAATTTGTTAAAAGCACAAGTAAATTAATGTGCACAGTTTAACTAGCTAAATTAAATTTATGATATACATCTTTTTTCAAAGTGGATTTTTGTTAATTTTCACCTACTGCTTCTAATTGTTTCAGCTTCTTTTCAAAAAATTCAATGTACCCACTGACACCCTATAGTGAACAAAGTTAAAGAGTACAACTGCCAATGCATCAACCTTACGCTAGAATCATTCGTGGGTTTATCTCTATCCTAAATGCTGGAGATGTTTATCGTGAATTTCTTCCTGCATGTACACTCCCAGCAAGTTCTTATTAAAAAGGGGCCTATGGGTCATTCTTCAGTATCAAGTGTCTACTTTCATGTCCCGACACTTTAAGGCACTATAAATCGAAAAATATAGAATGAAAATTAGATTTTTGAGCAGTGAAATTAACTTCAACACGACTCCTATTATGTGCAGTGTTAAAAACTCTTTAACATAATGGACAAGATGCTCATTCTTTACAATACTCCCTCAAAACCCCCTCAAAATGCATGTCCCAGTGTATTTCTCAATGTACCTACTGCCATAATTTGTAAAGTAAACAACTTGAAAAGGTAATTAAACCTCCAAAAGCCAAGTACTATAATAATTGTCATTTCCGTCACAAAAGGTGTGACGGATATGACTTTTGCATTCTTTTCACAATCAATATTTCTTTGGGCCCTATTGAAAATAAAGGAACCCAGCATTATTTCCTGTAGAAAACTACTTCACATCACCACTTCAATACAATAGAGACTTAAATAACAGAGAGAGAGATATGTTGCAAGGATGAATGAAGTCCCTGAAAGCCATCAGCCCTGTTTTTGGTACATAATAATTGTCAATTATCAGATTGATCTTCGATCAGGCCAATCAAATATGTTGAACACTTTCAAGTGCTTCAACATGGGGGGGATGCACATATTGTGACGTACGTGAGTAACCACTAGCTTAATTGTCACTTCCTAACATGCTCAAAATCCAAAATGTTTAAATAGGATTATGTGAAAATCTTAGATCTGCGGTTTATGCAACAGGATTGGCACAATTGCGAATCCCACGCTTTGTGAATGCAAATCGCCATGATCGCAACCTTGGTATAGGCCTATGATTCTTTCCCTGCTAAATACTCACGACCGGACCATGAACGTCTTGCAGTTTTTCAGGTTTTTAAGAAAATCGAGTTGACGACGGACACACTGAAACCACCTCACAAGTAGAGATACAACACGTTCCTCGACAACGAATCTGGAGAAAGTTGCATGACCCAACATGGCAACGACATCATAGGGCAAGGGACACACCAACTTTTGCGAGACGGGCATTGTTACATTTTTGTAACACGCAGACAACAAACCACCACGTGTGAATATTATCCATCCATTTTGCACCTGTCAGTATCACAAAACACCACCACCTGTGCGCGCCATCACGTGGGCATACGTCATACCAAGCGCATACCTTGGGATTTTTGTCAATTTTTGTATATATTGGTAACGGTATTGTTCTGCATTGAAAACATCGATTGTCAACAGATCTAATGTTACAGTTGTTATGCTTGCATTAGACTGTTTAATTAGTTGTTAAAATGATTACGTAGACAGTTATGACTCTAAGGCGAAGCTTAATCCGAAATTTCAGAAACGTCACTGTCAAAAAATTTGTTTAGAGGGCGCTGTACCGGCGGCAGATCCAAGAATCAAGATGACGTCCCATGTCACCGATGTTCTGCTCGCAAACACGGGTAAAACTCAGCTGTTTTCCAATAATACTAACCTTTCAGACAAAGGTTCTCTCAAAAAAGTTCCAGAGATTATTGTAGGAAAAATAAAAAACTTAGTGCATTTAATTCCTATGTAGGCCGAGTATTTGAAACGCTTTTTGGTTGGTAAGTATTCGATCTTTATCGTTGCATCGGTTGCGTGATACAACGTATGAGAACGGGTGTCGGTCACTAAGCTTCGCCCGGTAATCCTTACTAGTATTATGACTACTCCAAGAACTATGAGGCTCTCCAGTGAGCCTCATAGACACAGAACCCCGCAAAATTGTTGTCAGCACAAAACACTAATTAAGTACAAAAACGTCCATCCCAACCAAGCTTTTTCCCACAGAACCGCTGCACAGTTTGCCCCTAAACTCCGTACAATACCTCATGACATACTCACGTTATGTGCACCCAACAAACATCGGTGGATTATGTCTGTTTTCGGCAAAAATGATGAAAAATATGCCCTTTCCGCACTGAGCCAACCTAACACTTGAAACGAGCACGCGCCCTGAATGATCGCAGTCATTTTCGGTTCGATCGCTCGGAGCGCGCCGCGGGGGTATGGTGTAGGAGCGGAACGATAGTATGCGCATGCATACAAGTGCAAGTATGTACCCCCCGCGGCGGGCTCCTAGCGATTGAACCCGAAAATGACTGCGATCATTCTGCGCGCGTGCTCGTTTCAAGTGTTAGGTTGGCTCAGTGTAGTCCGAGTAACTTGGACCCAACTTATCGCCTTTTTAAAAATTTGGACATGGTCTGGCGATAGTAGGGTCCAAGCTCATTCCTCGACCTAGACAACACAGTCACTGACAGTCCCAAAAACCAACATTTTCCAACAAAAAACATCAGATTTCACCTTCAAAACGGCCTCCAAATTACTAGATATGTCACCTGAGGTACAAGTAGACATAGATGATTAAGATGGTTGTACTTAAGTTTACTTACGATCCGGAAAAAAAGTGAAATTTTCCGTTCAATTCTGGAGACCCCCTCTGCCTAGGTTGTCGTTGTTGTGCTCACGTTCAAAACTGCATGATAATGGCGTCTGACCTCGACCTCATGCAAATGTGGTGCGGCGCGCTTGCGCATAATGCACTGCATGCATACCCGGCAGATTCCCCTGCGCCGCGCCGACGACTGTTTCCTGATGTAGAGCGCTGTGTAAGTTCGCGGTACGCCTGGCTAGCCAGCGCGACTCCCAGGCGTACCGCGAACTTACACAGCGCTCTACATCAGGAAACAGTCGTCGGCGATGCATCGCGCGCGCTCGGTAACAGAATCGCACTCGGGATACGGGGACCATCGAATGTACGCTGGGCATGAAGAAGAAATCGTGTCGTTCAAACATAACAACACGAGTCGGAAATTTAACGTGTTCAAGATCGCGAGGGGAGCTCTCAGAATTGAACTGGAAATTTCAAAGATATAAATTGTCTCTACAGTGTCTCTCTACAATTGTCTCTACCTTTTCAAATATATAAAAAAAACCCAATAATTATGGACAAAAAACGTACAAAATGAAAAGGAAAAAACATCGTTCGCCTTTGAGTTTGGTTCACACATTTGGACAATTTGCCGGGTTTACCTTAGATCAGCCGTAGTTCCATCGGAAAGGATGATAGATTATTTTCATTTTACATGTGATTTAATGTAAGAGGAAACCTGTAGCTTATAAAAATCGTCATTTTTCGAGTAAACCCATTTTGAAAGCTTCGTGCCCTCTATGATTGTACTTAACTGCATTTCTGGGCCGGGAACCAGTCAGTTGTAAATCGTTTCAGTTAAATGTATACATTTCCAACGCATCGAAAGATTACAAATGGAGCGCCGCAGCACGTGGCGCGTGGCTAGCCATGTTAACGGGCCAAATTCCAGGGTCTGTGTACAGGTACGTGCACACTAACGTTACATTCAACAACAAAAACGTATAACGTGAGACCTTACTTTTCTCATTGAAACGGTTTCCGACTTAAATGATATTTAAACTTTTCGTGGCATTCTTGACCCTTTTCAGTGAAGACAAGTTTACAATTACTCGGCAAAACTGCAAAAATTATCCCCTAAACTGTCGCCTGTTTTGAATTTGTGACCCAATACTTTCCTACTACACGACACGGAAAAACAAAAAAAATGCAACAAATACTCTCTGTTTTTTAGCGCTAAGGTTTGCAAAAGTGACTTTGATTGCCTTAAATTCCTGTCTACGTGGAAAGACAAATTTATTTAAGTACTTTGAGCGTGATGTTGACCGATACTTCAGTGGCTCAAACTGCCACTGCAGGCATCCATGTTTGCTGATTATCAGTATTTCATATTTTGAGTGCACATGCGCGCAAACTAAATGAGCGGCTGAAACATACGTGCCTTATTAACCGTTACAAGTCCACTAGCTTATTGATTGGGTTTTTATATCCTAGAGTTTAAAAGTGCTACAGGCAAAACTTCATTCGAAAGTTGGTCCTGCTATTTGGGTTTTGGTGTTTTTTACTCACCCAATATTTTGTAATTCTTTGCCCAGATCTGTTGGAAAAGGAAGACCTGGGGACGCGCATCGGCAAATTATCAACTCACATTGATGAGATCAAGGGTGAAATCTACCACGCCGTACACGAGAAGTATGCCAACTACAGACCCACCAGGGACTCCACCCAGGAGCTACACAACAAGGTGCAGACACTGTCCACTGAGATGCAGACTCTCAGCAATAAGATCAAGGTATGTCATAGTCTTAAGGCCCTAGTAACACATTCACGGTTGGACCTACGAATATCCACCGTTTACCAAGAATCAATTGATCACTATGAACCGTCAAGACTCATGGAGAAATTGACTTTCTAAGAATGCACTAGGGTTTCAGGACGGATAGCCACAACTTTCGGAGGTTTCTCTAGGAATACACCACGGTTTCTTGAATGGATTGTTTACGAATATTGACAGTATTACCAAGAATAATGATGTTAATGCCACAGTTGTCTGCGATTGGGCCACGGATGACCAAGGTTCTCCTACAAATAAAGCATAGTCATATTCGTAGTACAACCTTAGCAGAATTCAAGCATATCTGGGCATAACCGTAGGACATTTGTAGTGAATTCGTAGAGAATAGATTTCCACCACGAATGAGCTACAAATCTCCAAGAGTATGTACGAATAGCTACAAATAACACTACGAATTAGTACAGTTGTTCTATGGATGTCCCCGGGTTTCACTGCGCATTGATTTTCATGGCGATTCACCACGGACGTTTGGAACAGTTTAAAAGTTCCGTAGCGCCTCCACGAATACCAAAGGAAGATGACTGATAACCACGCAGATATTTAGGATGAATACAGTACTCCCACGGTTATCACAATTCACAACTGTGGATAGCTGTAGCTCCAAACAGTGAATGTATGACTGAGGCTTAACGGCTAGACATTGTTATGGTTTGATATGCGATAACCTGCTGCAGTGATAAACCCACACCCACTGACCAACCAATATCACCCACGAACCCGTCGGAACAACGTATAGGCCAATTCCTACTGGTTGTGTAATGTGCGCGCACCTTTGGCCTAATATATGCAGCGCGCATTCAAAAACAATTCACAGTAGTTCCCAAGAAAACGTAAAAAGTAACGTAAAAGATGCAGCAAGACGTTTGTGCAACTTCACTGGTCAGCACTTTTGTTGTGTGTAGTTTGTGTGGGACTGAAAATGAACAGTAATTGCCTGCGGAAGTAGCGCATGCGCACTTCCCCCATTTTTTTTGGGGGGGGGGAGAGATTTTATGAGTTGGCCTAGACGTTCCGATGGTGGGGGATATTGGTTGGTTTTGATAGCCACCTCTTGCGACGGCGGGTCATCGCTGTAGCATGTAATTGCGTATCTGACCATAACATCGTCTAGCCCCTAGACTAGGTATGTGAGGCTGTGTCTGATGAGACAGGCATTGTTGTCTGTGGCAATAGCTTTTGACTTAATGCACTATCAGGGTTCGACCTTAGCGGTGGTCCGCTGGCCAAACGCCAGTTGAATTGCCGGCGGACCAGCTGAAACACCTTGCCAAGTGGTCCGGCTGGCCAGCTGAAAAAATCTGTGTCAAAAAAATGCTTGTTGTATTTATTTGGTTTCTTACTTATATGTACATTCGCTATTTTTTCAAAAGAAACCTCCGTTATTTTTACAAATTCGCTTCGCGATATGACTACTTCGCAATTCGATGTCACGGTGACTATAATCATGTGCGTAATCCGGTAACCCGTAATCCAGCCCAATGCGGCGATGACTGGTTCCCGCCACGCCAATTTAGAAGACATCATGATGAAAATGCGGTAACTAGTCTGTGCACGGCTATGCGATCGATAGCGCTAGAGCATTGCTGCTATGCATCGTGCAGGCGCCTGGCACGTGCTCTGTCAACTGGTCGGATTCGACATCGTAAAAATGCCAAGAAGACACCAATGGAGAAAGAACATTTTTGCAAGTTAATTTTATACAGAATTGATATAGCTTGTCTGTGTATGTATTTTCTGTGTTCAAGAGTTCATTTTGAGAACGCACTACTCGTATTTGGAGTGATACATGCCGTGTGTTTCCTGAAATTTTTGACCGTGAAAACGGGTCTGTCGGCCCATGGTGGGCCGCTCGCCACACACGCACGCATCACACACCTCAGAGTTTTGGCAAGCTCCCCACGTCTTGACTAGCATTGTGCATATGGTGCGAACGACCTGAATTTTCCATTAATTTTGGGGTAATCCTTATTTTTAGGACCCCTTTCCTATATAAGGTTAAAAGACTCACCAAAACAGCTGACTAAATGACACTCAAAAGTGACATTCTGGTATTTCTTGGCACATTTGAACAGTTGGCAATGACACCTCTTGAATATCAGCAGGTTTGATTTTGTAGAAAGAGGGCAGGGTTTTGATTTATGAGGGGACGATGACAAACAGAAAATAGATTTAAAAAGCAAGATGGCGAACTGCCAAAAAAGGTAGGAAAGTCACTTTTTCTTTGAAAGTGCTTTCAAAAACTAACATGAGTTTGTCTGAAGAAAAAAGACTTCTTTAGCCTGCAAAAGTCACTTTGGTACTGGACAGTCATCAGCAAAAGTCAGTTTTGAACAGAACTCGTACAAAATAGAGGTGTCCTATAAGGATTATAATTTTTTGAAATTATCGAACGTAAATATATTGACAATAATTAAAGGTAAGTTTTATTCACTTTTTGTCGCTATTTCGTGTATAGCTTTCGTAGTGCAATGAAAATAGTTCAGGCTAATACTTCGCATATAAAAAATTGAATACCCCATTCACTCTACATAAAAAAAATTGGCAAAAAAAGAATTTCCGACCGACCGACCCTATTTTTGAAAGGCATGTAATCGGAAGCAGAACTATTTTTTTGGCCTAATTAAGGTAGGTTTTATTCACTTTTTGTGGCCATCATTTTGTGTATAGCTTTCGTAGTCAAGGGCGGATCCAGGGGGGGGGGCCAAAGGGGGCCATGGCCCCCCCCCCAAAAAAAATGTCGCACGATTCACGCTCGCACAGCCCCTCGAGTTGCGTCATTGTGGCGCCTTGGCCAGAGCGCAGAGGTGTTGCAATTGTTTTGGGCATGTTCAAAGATCTTGGCGCTCATCGGAGACCATTAAGACCCTCCGGCGCCCATCTGGCAACCTATGTAGTTGTCGCTGCAATCTTGTAGTTGTTGTTGAGCCCCAGCTATTTTTCAAGGATGCAGTAAGAGCGCACATAAGATCGCAGACAGTGTGACAGGGGCTTTACCTCCCGAGAGAAAGTTGTCTCATACACGAATATCAATGCATTGTGTACCGCGTGTGCAAGCACTGAGAAAAAGGAACATTGTTCTTGACAGCTTTCCAGTGACTGCTGACTCGCTGTGTGTTGTGCATGCCCTTGGCTTGGTGGCTTGCTGATGCTTGGCCTGGCAGCATGGTGCTCTTGGTCATTTTCTGCCTGCATGTGGAATCACATGAAGCTCAATCTTCTTCCCTGGCTGCAATGGTTGGCTGGGATTCCATCTTGGGAAGCAACGACAGCACATGTCTTACCACTCGACCACCGAGCTAACGGGATTGGATGGCTGGTTCGAACGGAAAATTCCATCTTATAATAGTTTATGCGGTACCCGCCGCTATGTACATCAGATTCGAACCGGCCACCCGATCCCGTTAGCTCGGTGGTCGAGTGGTAAGACATCTGCACTAGAAAGCAGGAGGTCCTGGGTTTGAGTCCCACCCGAGTGATTTTTTCCAACTTTCACTCGGGAGGTAATACACTGAGTATACAGTTTTTAAAAACGTTGGTGCAGGGCAAAACTTAATTTGATTTATATCACCCCGACGCAAAAATTCCATCTTATAACGACAGCACAATTTGACGAATGAGAAAGCCTTGATTACAGCTGCACAATAGTCAGCGTTAGTCAGCACTGTAGACGAGGGAATTAATTGAGCTATTGATAAGTCTGAAGATTTTCTGCAAGTTCTAGATATTCAATAGCTTGGGCAGGCAAAGTATAAGTTGTTCCCAGAGTATAAATAATTGCAGCTGAAACATTCAGTGAGTTCAGAATGAAACAAAATGGCAGTATTGATGATAACCATACAGAGGACCTTGCCTGCTTGCTGGGACAATTTGGCAACTGTGCTGATTGCTTGCACACTTTAACTACTACCAAGATGTACAAAGCAAGAGTGGCTACTAAACAGGTAGTGTTGGTAACGAAATTAATCCAAAACATGATGTCTTTAAAGACAGTCTCTGGCAAGAATATCGGAATCACACCAACAATAATTGTTGGCACCCAGACTCCTGCTGATATCTTTGCTGCTCGAGATTTAGAGGCTTTTTCCTTGTACTTGAATCCCAGGATATACCGTTATTTTGTTTTACCGTTTTGGATTTCCTCAAAAACAAAAACCGTGAACGAATTTTGACCGTTTTGTCATTTTACACTTTTGTAAAACGGTCAAACGGTATTAAGTCACACACAAAAAATACTTTTTGTTGTTGTTTTTTATTGTAGAAAGCGTTAAACGGCTAGTTGCTTCATTTTTAGAGTGTTGTTTTACAAAATCATGACAATGACAAAACGGTCAATAGTCTTGCCGACCATTTTTTTGATTTAGGTTCGGCAATTAAGCAATGCACCTAGGAATGTTAATGCGTCCTAGGGATCGAGTCATTGCCTGGGCCCTCCTTACATTTTCGTACTCAGGACAGAAATTGCGAATTAGCTATTGAAGAGCCGCGTCGACTTAAACTCCAATTTCCTTCAAAATATCTGCAACTTCATCAAACGTCTTACCATCCTGTATCCATTGTGAAAAGTAATGCCCTCCCTTGCAGTTTTCCAGCGCCATTTTTGCTTGCAATTATTTAAGCCCCACCAACTGAATGGCATGAGAAGGGGGTCAGGGTCTGCGCCAGGAATCACACCACGCATTAATTATGCCGAGCCAACACTCGTGTAAAGCAGGGTCCCCCTCCACCCCCTTGCCCACCTTCACAAAATGCACCACGGACTGTTAACTATGACACTACAATAAAAAAAACAGTGTGTATTCAATACTGACCGTTTTGCTGTTTTTCTAAGTTATTTGTGTAAAACTGTAAAACAAAAATAATCGATTGTGATAAAGTTCTCAAGGTGCTTTTCAACTTCATCATTCTCCATATCCAACATTTTATTCAGATGTAACAGCGAATATAAGACCTGGAGCAATGTGTAGTTGAAACAAAAAGCTTCTGCATTTTTTCCCCTTAGTGTTTTTTTATCTCTAAGATTTGTAAGGATTAGTTCTTTGTTCCTTGTTTTGAATGCATACTAAACCAAAGTAGACAATAGAGTTTCACAGTTGACTTTGGCACAGATGTGCTTCAGAATAACTTTTTATTTTCTCTTCAAGACTTTTTTTACATGTACATTGTGTAATCCGTCGTAAAGGTTTTGCTCATATCTAGGTTACTTTAATAAGAAAAAGTGAAATGGCACTCTGCACTTTTTACAGAGTTTTACAGCTTATAAAAGATCACAGACATAACGTAACCCTTGCATTATCTATAACTGAATAAAATTAGATGCAGATCAAAAAATGACACAAAATCTTTCAGGTCGTAATTTTGCTTACAACATATTTATTTATATCTCACATATAGAAACTTGACACAAGCTTTAGATTTGGTGTTTGGATAATCAAGAAAGACATTTAAAATACAGATACAAATAGTCACTGCATCAACAAAGATTTGAAACCATGGAATTCCTACACTCTCTTGCTTGAAATTGAAAGTGTACTTAGACTTCTGCTATCAAATGTTATACTAAGAAATTACCCATGAACTTTTCTTTTTGTTCTTGGCCCAAACTGATGACCAGCTTTGCCAACAGATTGGCTCCCGTCCGTACATTATTGATACTGATTGGGGGGGGGGGGAACCAGCCTATCCAGCAAGAACAGAAATAATGTTTGGCAGCCAATAATTTGGAATTGTAAAGTAATAATTCAATAACTGAACGTGAGCTTTTTTGTGTTTGGTGTTTCATTCAAAAGTGAATAACTTTTGCATTGCTTGAAAAATAGCAGATTGGTAAAGAAATCTGTTTTTCGTGATGAAACTCGAAAATAGCACAGAACTTTAAGTAAATTCAGTACCTCATCTGGCATTTGTTGAGCAAAACTGTTATGTGGACAGTTTTCCTTGTTTTTTTCCTAGAAGGTACAGCATTAACCCTAACCCCCCTAGGCCCAATCACCATTCATCTTCAATCCTTCAAAATCCTCATGTGCTTCAATCACCATTCATCCTCAATCCTCCAGAATCCTCATTTGATTCAATCACCATTCATCCTCAATCCTCTAGAATCCTCCAAAACCGCTAGGAGGATTTTGGAGGAGTGAGGTGGGTTAGGGTTAAAGGTTGCATGTCTGTGTAGAGTGTGTGTGCGATTCACAGTTTCAGATGATTCTTATTTTATCTGATAAACTGTCTAAGTTGAACACATTACCCTCATTGTTTCAAGCTTAATCTTTAATTTGCTCATGCACTACCAGAACTATGAACTGTAGTTAGGAGAATGGTTGTATGTAGAAAGATGACAAGTTCCACACACAATCCATTACCCTTTGGAGATACGGTGGACACAATACGAGGGCGCTATTTGGTTTGGGTCTAGTCTTTTGCATAAGTTACCCCAATATACCCAAATCAAATAACACCCTTGTATTGTGTCTGCCATATCGAAAAAGGCTTAGAGCAGTTGAGCTATTCACTTTTTCCAAAATTTGTTAAGACTCTGAAATACTGAACGTGCTTTTCACATCTTTTCCCAATCTGCAGGTTAAACAACACGGTGACTCCACTGTGGAACCAGCCGTATGAGGACCAGCTATCCACCAAACAGACTAACACCAGGGAGTTTCTGAGGAATTTATCCAAGATGCTGCAACGGAACATTGGGGAGATGCCTCCCTGGCTGAAGCAAGAAAGGTGAGCTACTCGCCAAAGACACGGGATGGTTGTGGGCCAGAATGGAAATGTGATCTTCGTTGACAAAAAACTGTTTCCAGACACAGTTTTCTGGCAAGTGGACTTACATGTACAGCTGCCCTGAAATTTCATTAAAAGTCCAGAAAAATGATGCCTCATTTTTCTTGAGAATCAATTAAAACTCAGCAAACCTTGGGCCAACTTCTGAAATAAACTTCCTTTCCACACACAAAAGTCCCAAAGATTAAAAGGGGGGAGTTGGTAAAAAAAATGTTTACAAACAAAAAGCAGAAAAATGAACACAAAACCAAACTTCACAATTCATAAGCTGCTCGAATGAGACTCGCACCAACAATCTCCTGCTTCCTAGTGCAGATGTCTCAACTACTTGACCACCAGGCTTGCTGGGGTTGGCTGGCTGGTCCCAATCTGATATAACAGGTGCCACAATCAATGAGTTTAATTAATTGTTTACGTAGGGGAGTTGTGAATGTGAATACCTGGTTTTGACCTTCACCAATGTAAATTTGAATGCACTGTATATTCAGTGCTGTCTGAGAGCTTACAAGCAAAGATTCTGCAAGCTTGCTTGGGTGGGATATGAACCCATGACCTCCTGCTTACTAGTGCAGACATCTTAACCACTCAATAACAGAGCTTGCAAATAGTGGGCCAGTTTGAATCTTGTGCATATATAGCTTTGGTTACCACAAGAAATTCACAAGCCTGTTGGAGTGGGATTCGAACCCACACCCTCATGTTTAATAGTGCACTCTTCATTTGATTGACAGGAAGAACCACAGTGGGATGGAATGTGAGTTGGAGCCAATTAAGCCATCGGTGAGTAAGCTAGGTGACAAATATTTGTTGATAGAAATGCAGATTTTTAAAAAATTTATTTGTAGTTTGTAAATGATTTTATGAATTATAATCTCAATGATAGTTCACATTGGCACATAGTGTTAGGTTAGCTTGACTGGTGTGATCTTTGAACTCGGGTAGATAGATAGAGTCACCTTACTTGTACTAAATTTATATTTCAACCTGAATTTCTTGTTAGATAAACTATACAGCATGTGAATCTTTTGTGGGGTAAATATTCCTGACATTGGAGATGTCTGATTTGTTCCTTTCATTTTCATTGTTTGTTTGCACACTTACAGCCAGAATTAGAGAGCTATCGCAACAAGTGTGAGTTTACCATCGGCAAGAGTGTAGATGGCATCGGTGAGTGAAACTGGCAGTCATTTTTATTTATGCAATCTCTTCATTTTTTGTATGTATGCGCCCCGTTCACAAGTACCCCCTCGCCTGGATATAAAGTGTGCACACATGTACTTAATGCACCTGTTATGAAAGCTGAACAGAAAGTTCCAGGATTTTTTCTCAGTTATTCCCCACATTTGTTGTCAGGTCTTCATGAAACTTGGCCCTGGATAAATTGTGCAATAGTTTCAGTATCATGTCTTCTTATTTTCATTGACAGATAACACTGTTGGTTTCCGGCTTGGCGCTTACAAAGGTAAGTATTTCCTCTGAAGTTCCATTTTGGTAAAAGACGTAGATCAGCTTTCATGTTTGATTGGATCGGCTGTCGAGGGGCGTGGCCTATTAGTAGCTACTGCTGATCAATTCCAACCAATCAGAATGCAACACACAGAAAGATTGACAGGTGTACATATTGTGCACTGTCTATTATGTCTGTCAGGAATTAATTATTGAAAAGAAAGAAACAAGCCACAAAAGACTTAAACCCTTGCCATCCCCTTTGCTGACCAATATGTTGGCTTACTTTTGTGGCATGAATATTGAGGGTATATGTTTGTACTTTCAACATTGACCAGCAAGCTCTTTTACTCAATAGGGATTTTTCAACAATTACATTTGTACAAGCAAGAATTAGGTTTTCAATACAAAATTCAGGAAAATCACTGTTTGTTTAAATGTTGCTAGTGTACAATTTTATTATTTTATCACTGCTCTTGCTTTTACACGCAAATTTGCTTGTCCTATAAAAAGTATGTGACTTTTAGAAACATGGTTTGCCCTGAAACTTTTTTTTCCAAATATTACTAGGTATCAGAAAGACGTAAGAGCTCAAACACCGATTTGGTGATAGTACATTTCTGTATTATTTGTGTTTAGAGTGTTAAATTACACAAGGAAATAGCAGCTTTAATGAACATATAAAAAGCAGCAATTCCTCGGATACTGTGCAAATTAAGATACATCTTGTATGATGCTAACTTTACAACGACATTCATATTTTACAGCATTGTTTTTTCAATTACCCAAATTCGAAGTACCCTTGAGTCCATCTAAAAGAAATATTTGAATATTGCTTTGCATTTAAACATCTTACAGACATGGAGCTCATAATGTAATACAACAGACTAGTGGTGCTACACAGATTATGTACAATTATAGAGCATGCAAATCTCGCCAGTTCACATTCACTTTTCATGTGAACATCTTGGTACCAAACACTGACTAGTCTAGCCACAGACTCCCGTGTTTGAATTCACCCAATTCACCCAATGAACGGAAGTGGAAGTCAACATTTTTTTCAATTTACTATAGTAATCAACTTGCAATATTTTTTGAATGTGTTGTAAATTGGAATGATTTTTTTCTTGTTCAGAACCCATTCTTTGCCCTTGACTGGATAAACCTAGTAAAATCACCTAGGTTTTTGAGGTCAACTTGCACGCTCTATTGACAGAAGTGGGGAACACGTTGCTGACTTCAACTATCAACTACATTTTTTTCCAGCTAGTAGCTGTGTAGACACCTTTAATTCACCATACTTAAATCCCAAACTGTACATCTAAAGCCTACAATGGTCTCGTATAGTTTATATCTGTGCTCTGCAGCAAAAAGTCTATACAATGGATTTCTCCTTGCTTAAGATAAAATGGTCTTCAAAAAGCATTTTCCACGTTGTGCAACATGTCGTCGCTTTTCTCACGAAGTGATAAAAACCTCAAAATTGGACAAAAGTTCATCCTGAGATAATCGCATTTGAAGTTATTCATTTTTTCAAAAGACATTTTCGGCCACTTTGCAGTAACAGAATTCGGAATTTGTTGCATTGTCCGATAGGATATGATTTGCTCTTTGTTAATTCATAGTTGTTTGTTAAAAACAGTTCGTAATTAAACAGTAATTCATTTATAAACTTTTTTGCACTTCGTGAGAACATCAATACTTTGGCTCCCATATTTTGCCGATTACTTTGTACACCCTTTTTGTCACTTCGTGGGATCATGAATCGCGGAGGCTTTACTTATTTGTACTTTTTTTCAATGCAACAAACTTGTTACTTTTGCGCATCAGGACAGTTGAGCGCGCGCGCGTCTTTTCTTTTTCAACATCGTTCCCGCGCGCGTGTATGCTCCCATCCTGCCGCGTGTAGACCAATGTATAATTCCCTTGGCCCTGCTCAAGAGGTGACTTTTTGTCACTTCGTGAGAACATTTTACACTTTTTTTACACTTCGTAAAAATGAAAATCACCGATTTTAGACTTTTTGTCAATTGTTTGTTTACAATAATTACGGAAGTAAACAACATTTTGCCTTGAAACTTGGTCAAATTGTTCCTTATTTGACAATCAAATAATTATCGATTTTCGAGGTTTTTGTCACTTCGTGAGCAAAGCGACGATGTGTGCACAAAGATTTGTGTAATGTATTTGGAATTAGATGCTCCTAATGCATAACTTGCAGCTTTGTTGATCTGTTACTTAGGCTGTGTCTGAAACGGGCTTCTAGAGCTATGGCTACGGCTATTGTCAGATTGTTCCCATGTAATTATAATGGGTGAACACCTAGACTATAGCCATAGACATCTCACTTGCCCATATTAGACTTTAATATACCTAAAAAAATAACAATTTAATCTTTTTTTTCTTCTCTAATTGGAGTTGGTCTTTTAATCTGTTCATTTGTCCATCAGGTCTTGACCCACAAGATAACCATTCCACCAGCACCTCTGACGTACCAGTGACTGGTACTGCCATAATGGATCCTTATCACTATCTGACACAACAGCACTTCACCTCAGAGATCTTCAAGATTGAGATCCTAAACCTCCCAAGACATGTTGGATTTGTGGTGAGTTTGCTCCCTTAACATTGAACCCTCAATAACAATAACCATACAGTTTGTGCCTTTTTAGGAATATGTATGTATTGTGCTCCATGCTTGGGATTTGTCAAGGTCTGTTAATAACAGAATCAAAAGGCTGTCAAATGAATTTCACTAAAACATGAAATATCCTAGCCCTGTGTTTGTATGAAAGTAATGACCACATTTTACGCACACCGTTTTGCAATGCCCGTGCGCATGTTCGCAATTGTTTCTAATGTTGCTGTGATGTCGATTTAGGTATTTTACACTTCACAGCTTTGGGATTTTCTGTATAATTTATGAACCTAAAATTCATTGCATTGTACATGTGTAAAGGTTTGTACATTTAAGTATCTCATTGGCTGCATGCTATGTGCTAATGAACGCAACAGTCACATCAAACTTGATCAAAACACTTTTGTTACATTTTGTCCCCTCAAGCAGCAGTGACACTGAAGTTCCAGCTCATTACATTGCTGTATTGCTCGTGAATACGGAATATTTTAAAGCCTGAAACATCCAAAGACTTGGAATATAGTTCCTAAAATAAAACCTATTTACAGTGGAAAAATTCAGGGTTATCGATATGTTAGTACCATTACTTGTATATTTTCACACTGAAAAAAGTAACAAACTTGCTCATTTAAAGGAAGGGTAGATCATTTGTCATTTGTGCATTTTGTTTTCGTTTGAAGCAACAAAAGTGCTCAAAATATAAAAACAGGTGCTTAACAACTAACACGATGAAGTTTTAGCTCTGTGAATGCAGTATATTCCAAAACTATATTCAAGGATCTCAGGTTCAATTCAAAAGTTGCTGAGTCATGTTTTATATTGCGTCCGAATTCAGCCCCAGGGACACATTCTCATTCAGTCAATTGCAGCTACGCGATGTCATGCACTGAACTGACGAATAATAGCAACCTAGTGTGCGTGTGCGTCGTGTCGACGCTTGCGCGCACATATTCATGGATTCACCAAATTTACAAATCAACTACATGAACTAACATGATGCATCGTTGAAAATGGCTTTCTTTCATTGTTTCCTTTAAAATGACAGCATGCCAGAAAGAACGATTTCACAGGGAGTTTAGTGCCATTAAAACCAAAAGCCTTTTAACAATAATTTTGTCAGTTACTTTTTGGATAGCTGCAAATGATCTACTTTACCTTTAAACACGAACAAAAGTTTGATTCAAATAATTAAACTATTTAGGATTTGTTAATTTCTGAACCTTTTACATACATACATTGCATGAATACCAGCTGTTCCCTTTACTGATAGTTGGTTGCAATCTGCTCTGGGCAGGCCTGCACATTACTGATGTCATGGTGCGTACATGTATTGGCAATTCGCTGAAGTAAAATACATTTCAACTCCAGCATATTGTGTTGTTAATGTTTCTCGATGTTTCTCGATCTACTTCCTTGGCATTCCAATGAAGAAGATGTATGAAACGGCCTTAAATCTGCTCTACACTTTGAACACAGCAAGTTCAAAAGCAGCACTCACTCTACACACTGCTGCCCTTAAAGACAGCTTGCACTTATCAGGTACCAGTGAACATTGTTCTTGACAACTTTCCAAAGATTAAATCCCTTCTGGTTCTGGATGTGCATACTGCTGCCCTTGTGCTGATGGTTCGGTGCCAGTCAGCCCAGGACATTGTTCCTGAGTACTTGCAAGTGACTGCTGGCTCTCTGCTGGTTCTGGATGTTCACACTGTTCCCCTTGCATGGATGGCTTGCAGTCAGTCAGACTAGAGCATTGTTCCTAATGAGAACTTGCAAGGGCTCTGGGGTCCCTGCTGGTTCTGCATGTACCTCAACATGCACTTGAACATGCTGCTGACTGTGCATGGATGCCTTGCTGCTGCTTGGCCTGGAACATTGTTCTTGAAAGCTGTCCAGTGACTGCTGACTTGCTGTGTGTTGTGCATGCCCTTGGCTTGGTGGCTTGCTGCTGCTTGGCCTGGCAGCATGGTGCTCTTGGTCATTTTCTGCCTGTGGAATCACACAAAGCTCAATCTGCTTCTCTGGCTGCGATGGTCGGCTGGGATTCCGTCTTGGGCAGCAACGACAGCACAGTTTCAGGAATGAGAAAGCCTTGACTACAGCTTCACGAAAGTCAGCGTTTGTGACACTGTAGACTAGGGAATTAATTGAGCTATTGGTCAGTTGCAAAATTTCAATGTATATAGTCAGAATATTTATTGTCTCTGCAAGTTCCAGATTGGCAACAATCTGAGCAGTTGAAGTAACCTTTGATGCCACTACAAGTACATGAATTGTCATAATTGTAGCTGCAGTGCACAGTGAGTTCAGAATGAAGAAAACAGCAGTGTTGATGATAACCATGCAGAGGACCTTGCCTGCTCGCTTGGGACGGTTTGGCAACAGGGCTGATTGCTTGCATACTTTCCATACTACATAAATGTACAAAGCAAGAGTTGCTATCAAAGAGGCAATGTTGATAATGGAAAGAATCCCAAAGTAGACTTTAGTGAAGACAACATCTGTTAATGGTAAGAAAATCAGAATCACACCAACAATAATTGTTGGCACCCAGAGTCCTGCTGATATCTTTGCTGCTCGAGATTTAGAGGCTTTTTCTTTGAACGTTATAGGATTGCGCACTGCAGAGAATCTCTCAGCTGCTATGGTAACCACAAAGAAATTAGAGGTAGCGAGGAACGTGTATCTGACAATGTATGTTGCCTTTTTGACCAATAAGTTGTACTCTATAGGTGAAAACAATGCAAATATGAATTGAGTCATAAGGTAGAGGGTGTCAGCCACAGCCAGATTGGATAAGTAGATGTTGATGATTGTACGCATGGAATTCACTCGAATGACTGTGAAGAGAAAGACAAAGTTTAAGCAGAGGCCGATTGGTGCAATGATTTCAGCACTTAACCATATTATTTGCTCAGTTCTTTCTCTACTCATGTAAAAGTTCTCAAGATGCTTTTCAACTTCAGTTTTGCACCCAGTTGATGGAGTGGAGCTGTTTTGGTAGCCATCACCCATAGTTCATGCACAATGTAGCATTGAGCTCCGTGAGCCACATGTTGTTCAGATGCAGCAAAGAATGTTCTTCTCTATTTCAAGATCACTCCAGATTTATACTTACAGGGATTGTAAGACCTTGAGCAAAGTGTAATTGAAACAGAAAGTTTCTTGTTCTTTTCCATCTTTTCCCCCCAACATTTCTGTCCGATTTTAATGCATGTGACTATCTTGTGGTATCAGTTCCTGTAACCAAAGCATATGCATGTGAGTCAGTTTCACTACTTGCACTGACATGAAATCTGAGAATTGAATTTGTTTCAGTTTTAATGATTGGCTCCAGATTAAACATGCGTATTGTGTACATGTAATTGTTTTTTTAATGCAAGTCGTTCCTTCACAAGGCATAAATGCCACTCAATGTGAGGGCTACCGCACAAGAAGAAAAGACAGAAAAAAAGAGGATGATAGAAAATGAAGACAATTAAGTTTAGTGTGTATGAGAGATGCATGTTCACATTGTGTTTATACAGGGTGATTAAAAAAAAAAGTGACCCGCACTCAAGATTTTTTTTTTATTTTTAAGCAATCAAATTAGATACACCGAAGAAGTATGTCTTAAAAGAGCATGTTTTTCCAGACATCTGAAGAAACACAATTACTAACATTGATCCATGCCATCTGAAGTTATGCATGTTTTACTAAAATGAAACCATTTGTGAAGCTGTGCAAGGAATGCGATAATAATGAAAGCTAAATGAGCTAAGTGAGAATTACAGATTACACACAAGCATTCAAATACAAGTGAGAGTTTAATGATTGAAATCAAGACAATTTTCACTATCAGATTGTGTGTTTTGAATATGCGAGACAAGTCCACTCTGTTTTTTTTTCTTCGAAATATGGAAGGTGATTTTTGTATCTTTTCCTTTGCAAGTTCTTTTTCATTCATGGAAGTGGGAAAACGATGGATTTTTCATTGTCCTCAATGGGTACATGTATTATTAGTTCGCAATATGGTCATTGATAAGTGGTGGACAGCTAAGTTTTGTGATCATTTTATAGAAATAGACATGAATTGGAAATAGAGTATGCAATTTAAGTGAAATTTTCACAGTTAAAAGTCAATAAGATACATGTACTTTACCAGTATTTTATTGAAATGGAACAAGCTAAATATTTTAAACATTTTTTTTCAAATTCTGTCACTTTCTTTTTGACTCATCCTGTAGTTGGTTCAACCGGTCACGTGGGAATAAACTTGATGAATACATCCTGAAAATGGCTTTGGGGATAATGACAGTATATGGATGTGATTGGACGGAGGAGCAGGTAGTTGGTAGTTGGTTTAAATTTGGTCATGTTACTGACGACGGAAAGTAACATTCACTCAAAACATCTTTAAGCACAAATTTGACTTTGTTCAAAGGTACATACCGGTAGATGTAGACAACAGCGAAAAAGAGGAAATTTTGTTTTATAAGATGGAATTTTTGCGCCGAGGTGATGTAAGTCAAATTAGGTTTTGCCCTTCACCGACGTATGTACTCAGTGTTACCTTCCGAGTGAAAGTTGGAAAAAATCACTCGGGTGGGACTCGAACCCACGACCTCCTGCTCTCTAGTGCAGATGTCTTACCACTCGACCATGGAGCTAACGGGATCGGTTGGCTGGTTCGAATCTGATGTACATAGCAGAGGTTACTGCATGATCTCCATTCCAAACACCGGCACTGCAACTCTCCACTTGTTACTTGTTAGGGTCTCCCCATATGCAAGGGCGGATCCAGAACACAATTTTGGGGGGGGCCAAAAAAAAAAATTTGGTCCCCCCAAAAAGTGGGTCGAAAAATTACGGCGTGGGGTTCGGGGCCCGTAAGGGCCCCGAAATTTTTTTGGATTTTAGATGCTCTGTGGTGCGATCTGAGGCAATTTCTGACCACTTTAACCAATGTTTTTTGAGGAAAAGATGGTGGTGTACTCATTGCCTGCCTTTATTGCGATGTCACATAAAAAAAAAAAAAAATTGGTTTCGTTTTGGGGGGGGCCATGGCCCCCTTTGGCCCCCCCCTGGATCCGCCCTTGCCCATATGAGGTCTTTAAATACATGAGTGCCTCTTCAGCAGTCTTACCAGAGGACAGTAAAGAGCGGACTGTCCACTACCTTCTGACTTCAGCGGAGTGAGTCCAGCAAAACCTGGCCACGCTGGTCCTCCGGATTGTGATAACCGTCATACGCATGATTCAAAGCTGTTACAAAGTCATCTACCGGTACGGACTTTGCATCGTCCCATCCCTCGAATGTGGGGAGTTTGCGTTATGGTGCCATCACATCTTGAGGTGGCAGGCCACAAACACCCGCAGGAGCTCCTTGAGGGGAACCCGGTATTGGTCGGTTCTGTCTTGATCTGGACTCTGGTAAGCGGTGTGTACTCTCCTCCCACTTCCCATCCTCCTTCTGGAGGGAGAATGGCTCAATTCAAAATCGGCAGAAGTAGTTCATTGTCCTGGTCAGTTCTGTGAATCAGCCCGGTGGCATTCACGTAGTACCCCTTCAGGCTTTGAAGGGGCAAACGCCCATCAACCAAGGAAAACTTCCTCGTTTTCTCCTCTGCTAGAGACTGTACTTTGACGTAGGTTGTCATCTTGACGACTATGATGTGACAGACGGATCCTCAAGCCCCCGCTACTGGTTGGTTGGCTGAAAGTACAGATCCCACTTCTGACACTTGTGAGGGGGGGGGGGGATGGGTGTCAAGGGTGTTCAACAAGAATGCACATCGGACACCCAAGGTTCAGATCTCTGAAGTTTGTGCGAAGCACACAGGCCAACAGTGGAGGCGATGGCAACATGAGGAATCAAGATAGAGAGAAGGAGAATGCAAAATAATCAATTGTTCCCTAAAGTTTAACTGAGACCCAAAAAAAAATAAGAATAAAAAATACTAAGAAAAAAAATCACATAGGGTTGTGTGTGAATTGTTTTCTTTTTGCTGAAAGAACGCAAGTCAGTAATTTTATATTAAATACATGTAGATCTGAGCAAAATTATTTGTTTCAGTCAAATTTTTCTGTGTGAAAGAATGACAATTTTTTCATCTGGCTTATTTCATTGTGTCACGCTTAATTCTTGGTTACGTAATCCCAGTGTTTCCAAGTAAATGTCATGGCCAATGACAGCACTCAAGGAACTTAATCTGAAGACAAATTTAAATAAGCATCTTCCCTTTGCTTGTACATGTTGTCAGTTATGAGCCTCAATAAAATTCTACAATCGTGCACACTAATGTAAAGTGACAAAATAACATCGCTGGAAGTGAAAGCTATATCTTTCAAACAAAACCCATGTTTACTAAAATTCCCAACGTATGACGTATGCCCACGTGATGGCACATACAGGTGGTGTTTTGTGGCACTGACAGGTGCAAAATGAATGTTTCTTCTTTTTTTTTAAAAATAATCCAGTCAGGTAAGACAAACATCTGTGAAGACTCATTTGCATTGGTCAGCATCTCAATTCTATTTGGATGATTGTGAAATTTGAAATTGTGAATCAGAAAGTAGGAATCAACTTTAGTACAATTGGTTTTCAATTTCATCCATATAATTATTGATCTTCTTTTTTATATGTGTAATTTTTATGTTGCCCTTCGCTGAAGTATTTTACAAACACTGTACACTCGAGTGTTGTCTGAGGGCTTGCTAGAAAAAAAACACAAGCTTTCTTCGGGTTGGACACGAACCCCCAACCTTCTGCTTCCTAGTGCAGACACATTAACCACTCGACCACTGAGCTTGCTGTGGCAAGCTGGCCGTTCTGAGTCTGATGTAGCAGTGCTTAACCCAACTTTGTTTGTGTTGGAGGTCATTAGTTTGAGTCCCACCTAAGCCTTCTGGACAACACTAACTGTACAGTGTTTGCTAAATATATCGGCCAAAGGCAAACAAAAATCCAATATAAAAAAGGATAATTTCCATCTCATAATTTTTTTTTCCCCGCCCAGGTTCCCTGAAGTCCATCCAGATGATCCCTAATAAGACAGCAGACGGTACAGGCATCAACTCCGACACCCTGGCCTTACAGGTGAAGACCCATCCTGAGCTGAGGGACTAGCTTCATGTCGTCACCTCTTGGGGGCCTTTGCCTGTCTACCCTGGGGTGGTCAACTCAGAATTACCTGGTAGGTACAGTGGACTCTGTGACCAAGTACCAGTGTTGTAGTCAAGTCACCGTCCAACGTCGAGTCCAAGTCCCGAGTCCAAGTCCAAGTCTCGAGTTACAAGCCTCGAGTCCGAGTCACGAGTCACTTGTTCTTAGTTGTTCACCAAACCAATCATATTTTTTTTACATTATTTTTAATCAGCCATTCTGTCTTTTCAGTAAATCCCAGTGTATAATGTTGTGTGTACATGTTGTTTAGACCCAAAATGTGTTTTCCTTTTAACTCCCATCCCTACAAAAATCCTCCTCCATCCCTTCCCTCCATGTTTTATCATCCAAACATTATTCCTCAATGATCCTTTCCCATCCCTGCGTTAGGTTTTTTCTTTTGATGAAATTACGTGACTCGAGTCATAAGTCACCAAGCTCGAGTTCGAGGAGTCATGGTCGAGTCCGAGTCAGTCATTTTCCAATGTGACTAAATTGAGATGCGCTTGCAGATCTCGGCAACTTTAGTGGTAAAAGGAGTGTTGAGTGAACTAGGGGCAAGTTGGATCTAGGACCAATGGTTGAATAGTGGTTGGTTGGTGACGTACGTAGCACATGCGCACTGAAATTAAAGTGGGTACAACTCTAGTCAAACTATTGACATGTCAACAGCCGTGAGAAGATGGTGCTCGCACATTCGCTGAAGATTTGTTCAACACTTGATGTTTCTGTTTTATTTACACAAATAATAGCTTTTAACTCTTTCGCTACGGATTTTAATTTACCTTTTTTGTCCCAACTGGACGTAATTAAAAGCTGAAAATTCCGCCGAGCGTCGATGTGGGCGCCGCCATCTTTAAATGTATCTCCGTAAACAAACTGCTCACAATAACCAAAAGCGCACCCCAGCCAGACGGAGAGCCGCTGGCAGCGGCTCAAACTAGGGTCAGAGGTTATACGATATAAATTATGTAGATATGGCCCACGTCATGGGGATACCCTGTTTATTCATAGTGACGCAACCGAACCGCTGCGACCTGTACAATTTGTATGTGCCGCTGTCAGCGGCTCGCCGTAGCGAAAGAGTTAAGCTCGGTGGTTGAATGGTAAGACATCTGCACGAGAAAGCAGGAGGTCATGGGTTCGAGTCCCACCCGAATGATTTTTTCACTTTCGCTGGGGGGGGGGGGGGGGGGGGAGGGGGACGGGACCCACTGAGTAAACAGTGTTTATACATCGGTGAAGGGCAGAGCCTAATATTGAAATAGTGATTGCGTAGTTTATTATTTTATTGTACAGTGGTGACAGTAGTGATAGAATCCTAAACTAACAAAGAAAAACTATGCCATGAAAGTGGAATTTAGTACTCACAATTTTTGTTTTTCTGCCGTTTTGTTCGATATCGTAGTTGATCCCCTCTGCCCAATGTTATGACAAATTGCTATTGATAACCAGCTATAAATTGTGGCCCGACCAGCCGCGGTAGGCTGGTCCTGAATAGTCTACTAGACTAGTCCAACCATCTTCGACTAGCGTGCGTTCCATCAGAGTTTGTCAAACTATAATTAATTACAATACCTCACCCAGAGATTCTGTGTCTAGATTGGCCGAGAGCGAGTCACATGGTACTTTCTATTTTTGCTATCTTTCAGAGCACAGCCAAAAGTACTATACCCATAGCAACCAAAGTACTATACCACTAGCAACCAAAGTACTATGCCCATGGTGCGGTTTTTGTGTGCATATGCATGCTGGCGTGCGCGTAGCGCCGTATTGTTTCCAAGAGAGCGCGCCACAGAGTTGGATTCAAGCATTTTGTGAAGGGGTGGTTTGGAAGAGTTCCCACCAATTTTGTATTGAAATAGAAGTTAATTTTAACTGTGTTCAGATTTATGTAATTTAAGGTATTAAAAACCTAGCAGAATCTGTGGGTGAAGTGTTATGAAACAAATATTGAATGCCTTATCTCGTGGTGAAGTAAAACTAGCCTCCGTCGATGATCCACGGAGCATTTAATTTTCCCTTTGCTTCCCCTCAGGGAAATAGATGTCCATTGATAACCTGAGGCGGCTAGGTTTACTACACCACTCCAAGCATTCCATATTTGTATACTATGGTCCTTGATTGAACCTGGTTCCATCTAATGGCCCCCAGTTTAGCCAAATTTGTGCGTACTGAATATTTCTTGTATTTATTCCCTCCACAGAGGAAGTACGTTACCTGTCTTCACGGAGGCTACGGTCTCGGACTGGACGATTCTTGACCTGGATCCTAAACCACATGCATATCAGGGACGTCTGCTTCTACCCACGCTTCATAAAACGATGCATGCCATAGATGCGTCAACATGTCGCCTTCAATTCTTGATTCTAAGCATTGCTTAATATTTAGTGTGGGAAATCAAGATAAATAAGGGGTGGGGCTAGGTTGATCAAGTGGGGGGGGGGGTTGATTGTATGCCCTAAGACCAAATTTCTAGAGATAATTATGCCATTGTATTGTAAGGTATTTCTTCAAGGTGCAGTTTTAAACTTTCTTCACAGTTCGCTCTTTTAGTTTCAAGTAGTTTTGGTTTTTTTTTACCAAAACTCATAACAAATTGCAAGGGTTCAACCTAACATTTCTTATGAAATTTGGCCAAATCAGGACTTGCCTCCAAATGACTCAGAAATTCCCTACGATGTAAGATGAGTTTCAATCAGTGTTCAAAAATCCATTTTTATGAAGATTTGAGCAAAAATTACCGGTTTATTGATTGGAAAGAAGTTATCTTTTGTGACCACAATTTCTCCCACATTTCTGATGTGATTATCTGTTGCATGGAATATCTGACCAGAAATCGTGTTGGAATTGGGCCTCAAGTACTTTAGGCCCCCCCCCCCCCCAAAAGGCTCCAGTTTCTGGTATGCGCGCGTGTCACTGTAGCCATGCGCGACAGCCAACTTAAAAAGTGTTTTCATTGTAAGATTATGTCTCAAAACCGCCCAACTCACTGGTTTGACTGGAATCCTGCTGCTACACAAGTTTAATGTGTTTTTAGATGGGGTTACTATCGAGCAAAAGCTTTATGTGGCCTCTGCAGGCTCACATATATTTTGCACTAAATTTAGTCGGTCACCATTTGCAGTCATCACCGACATTTGAAGAAAATTTTTTTTTTTTAAATGCTGCGTCGCTGCACCAATTTTTGGGCAAGCTCCGTACCAGAAACCGAAGACTTATTTTTTTGGCCTCAGACAAGTATCCTGTAAGTTTAAAGCAATTTAAACAATTTTGCCAGAATTAAAATAGAATACATTTTTAATAAAATTTTCCCAAAAGACGATTTCTCTAAAACAAAAGTCCTTTCTTAGAACTTTATCATGTTTTGTTAAGAAATCCTTCTAAAATATCCTCAATAACATGTACTTGTAATCAAGTGCTGAATAGTTACTTTCATTTCTCATTAAGCTGCACTATTTGTCAAATATTATCATATATCACTTCAAGTATCTTTCTTTCCTTTCAACTGGGTATGTAACTGTCTAAAACAAAAACATTCAAATGCAAAACATGTTTTTCTCCTCATAATGAAAAGAAAATTGAAAAATTATGTTCAAATTATCCGTTATTTCCCCACTGATAAAAATCCATGTTCAAAGATTTAGAGACATATTTTTTATTTCAGTACTCAGAATTGACATTGTTGACCTGCTTTTTCAGAAATGTCTACCAGCCTGCGGTTTATTGATGCAACATGTACTCTTAAACTGGACTTGAAAAATACAAGTAGACGAGAAATCTATTGGAACAGACTTGCCATGCGTCCGATTTAGTAACTGCAAAACTTAGACGTTATTGCCCTCTTTAATATCAATAGATCTGCTCAAAGTATGTACAAGTATGTTCAGTCAAAGTTACGAAAGGAAATTTGAACTGCATGTGACAGTATAATTTGTTTTAACATTGTTTCATTTTGTCTAACAAATATTGGTGTCCAAATTCACGCTCTGGTTTTTGGAAATGATTGCATTTTCTCAGTGATTGTTACAAGGTTAACACTGGATTTCTTTGTCTTGTTGTTTTATTTCTTGCTATGATTCAAATGATTTTCTAGTTTAAGGTTTCTGGAATGAATAGATTGAATAAAATTGCAGAGTGCAACTACTAAGCTCTGTGTATAAGGTGTGACATTTGAAATATTTAACTTTTATTATTTTGTTTCTCTCAAATGCGTGGCCAAAAAAAAGAAAGACTTTTCTCCAAACGACTCCGAAACCTCTTTCGATATCAGATGAGTATCTATCAACATTCAAGCACATTATTTTGAAGATTTGGGCAAAAAATCACCGACTAATTGATAAAAAAAATATCATTTTTAGCCAATCTTTCAATAGAGGGCGCGCCACATGCACAGTGGTCGCTACTCGTACCGCGTCAACACAGATGTCCGACTTTTGAGTAAAAAGAAGACATCTATCTCAAATATTGAGTAATGCATTAAATTGAACGGTGGCCAGATGGTTTATCATGAAAAATAGACAAACTAGACAGAAGATTAAAACAAAATATTGTTTTTCTCTCCCTCAACAGTTTCTGGTGTCAACGCAGAGAAAAACTTGGAGATAGGATGCAGTCCCAGTCCAAACACTTTTTTTCTCACTTTTTGCTCGAAAACGATAGTCCTGTTCGACAAACTATCTCAAAAATTGAGTAATGCATTAAATTGAACGGTGGCCAGGTGATTTATCATGAAAAATCGACAAACTAGACAGAAGATTTAGACAAAATATTGTTTTTCTCTCCCTCAACAGTGTCTGGTGTCAACGCAGAGAAAAACTTGGAGATAGGATGCAGTCCCAGTCCAAACATACTATTTTTCTCACTTTTTGCTCGAAAACGATAGTCCTGGTCGACAAACTCTCTCAAAAATTGAGTAATGCATTAAATTGAACGGTGGTCAGGTGATTTATCATGAAAAAAAGACAAACTAGACAGAAGATTTAGACAAAATATTGTTGTTTTCTTCCTCAACAGTGTCTTGTGTCAACGCAGAGAAAAACTTGGCGATAGGATGCAGTCCCAGTCCAAACATACTATTTTCCTCACTTTTAGCTCGAAAACGATAGTCCTTGACGACAAACTCTCTCAAAACTTGAGTAATGCATTGAATTGAACAGTGGCCAGGTGATTTATCATCAAAAATAGACAAACTAGACAGAAGATTTAGACAAAATATTGTTGTTCTCTTCCTCAACAGTGTCTTGTACAACACTGAGAAAAAGTTGGCGATATGATGCAGTCCTAGTCCAAACATACCATTTTCCTCACTTTTTGCTCGAAAACGATAGTCCTTGACGACAAACTATCTCAAAAATTAAGTAACGCATTAAATTGAACGGTGGTCAGGTGATTTATCATGAAAAATAGACAAACTAGACAGAAGATTTAGACAAAATATACTTGTTCTCTTCCTCAACAGTGTCTTGTGTCAACGCAGAGACAAACTTGGCGATAGGATGCAGTCCCAGTCCAAACATACTATTTTCCTCACTTTTAGCTCGAAAACGATAGTCCTTGACGACAAACTATCTCAAAAATTAAGTAATGCATTAAATTGAACGAATGTCAGATGATTTATCATGAAAAATAGACAAACTAGACAGAAGATGTAGACAAAATATTGTTTTTCTCTCCCTCAACAGTGTCTTGTGTCAACGCAGAGAAAAACTTGGCGATAGGATGCAGTCCCAGTCCAAACATACTATTTTTCTCACTTTTTGCTCGAAAACGATAGTCCTGGTCGACAAACTCTCTCAAAAATTAAGTAATGCATTAAATTGAACGAATGTCAGATGATTTATCATGAAAAATAGACAAACTAGACAGAAGATGTAGACAAAATATTGTTTTTCTCTCCCTCAACAGTGTCTTGTGTCAACGCAGAGAAAAACTTGGCGATATGATGCAGTCCTAGTCCAAACATACCATTTTCCTCACTTTTTGCTCGAAAACGATAGTCCTTGACGACAAACTATCTCAAAAATTAAGTAACGCATTAAATTGAACGGTGGTCAGGTGATTTATCATGAAAAATAGACAAACTAGACAGAAGATTTAGACAAAATATACTTGTTCTCTTCCTCAACAGTGTCTTGTGTCAACGCAGAGACAAACTTGGCGATAGGATGCAGTCCCAGTCCAAACATACTATTTTCCTCACTTTTAGCTCGAAAACGATAGTCCTTGACGACAAACTATCTCAAAAATTAAGTAATGCATTAAATTGAACGAATGTCAGATGATTTATCATGAAAAATAGACAAACTAGACAGAAGATGTAGACAAAATATTGTTTTTCTCTCCCTCAACAGTGTCTTGTGTCAACGCAGAGAAAAACTTGGCGATAGGATGCAGTCCCAGTCCAAACATACTATTTTTCTCACTTTTTGCTCGAAAACGATAGTCCTGGTCGACAAACTCTCTCAAAAATTGAGTAATGCATTAAATTGAACAGTGGCCAGGTGATTTATCATGACAAATAGACACACTAGACAGAAGATTTAGACTAAATATTGTTTTTCTCTCCCTCAACAGTTTCTGGTGTCAACGCAGAGAAAAACTTGGAGATAGGATGCAGTCCCAGTCCAAACATACTATTTTCCTCACTTTTAGCTCGAAAACGATAGTCCCTGACGACAAACTATCTCAAAAGTTAAGTAATGCATTAAATTGAACTGTGGCCAGGTGATTTATCCTGAAAAAAAAGACAAACTAGACAGACGATTTAGACAAAATATTGTTATTCTCTTCCTCAACAGTGTCTTGTATCAACACGGAGAAAAACTTGGCGATAGGATGCAGTCTCAGTCCAAACATACTATTTTCCTCACTTTTTGCTCGAAAACGATAGTCCTTGACGACAAACTATCTCAAAAATTAAGTAACGCATTAAATTGAACGGTGGTCAGGTGATTTATCATGAAAAATAGACAAACTAGACAGAAGATTTAGACAAAATATTGTTTTTCTCTCCCTTAACAGTGTCTTGTGTCAACGCAGAGAAAAAACTTGGAGATAGGATGCAGTCCCAGTCCAAACATACTATTTTTCTCACTTTTTGCTCGAAAACGATAGTCCTGGTCGACAAACTCTCTCAAAAATTTAATAATGCATTAAATTGAACGGTGGTCAGGTGATTTATCATCAAAAATAGACAAACTAGACAGAAGATTTAGACAAATATTGTTGTTCTCTTCCTCAACAGTGTCTGGTGTCAACGCAGAGAAAAACTTGGCGATAGGATGCAGTCCCAGTCCAAACATACTATTTTCCTCACTTTTAGCTCGAAAACGATAGTCCTGGTCGACAAACTCTCTCAAAAATTTAGTAATGCATTGAATTGAACAGTGGCCAGGTGATTTATCATGACAAATAGACACACTAGACAGAAGATTTAGACAAAATATACTTGTTCTTTTCATCAACAGTGTCTTGTGTCAACGCAGAGAAAAACGTGGCGATAGGATGCAGTCCCAGTCCAAACATACTATTTTCCTCACTTTTTGACCGAAAACGATAGTTCTTGACAACAAACTATCTCAAAAATTGAGTAATGCATTAAATTGAACGGTGGTCAGGTGATTTATCCTGAAAAATAGACAAACTAGACAGAAGATTTAGACAAAATATTGTTTTTCTTTCCCTTAACAGTGTCTTGTGTCAACGCAGAGAAAAACTTGGAGATAGGATGCAGTCCCAGTCCAAACATACTATTTTTCTCACTTTTTGCTCGAAAAAACGATAGTCCTGGCCGACAAACTATCTCAAAAATTAAGTAACGCATTAAATTGAACGGTGGCCAGGTGATTTATCATGAAAAATAGACAAATTAGGCCTATATCATTGGTTTTTAAAACTCTACGCTTGCAGTACTGACATGCGTGAAATGTTTTGGTTAAATATGTTTTATTTTGTGTAATGCTCTGCAACTAGTTCGAGAATAATACCATAGTCAGTGATAACTCTGTGTTAAGTTTCATATAAACTGTTAAACGAAGTTGAAAAATCTAAATTTCAAATGCTTTTCAGGAAACACTGTGTTATTTCCAAACTTGTCTCTCCTATAGTTTTCAATTCTTGGTCCAATCATGGAGGAATATTCATAAAAAAAGAATATTTATATTTTTAATTATATTTGATTCTGAAAACAACAGTTCAATTTTTCTAACATAAGTTCAGTCAATTTATGTCTCGGGAATGTAAAAAAAAAAAAGGGAAGAAAATTAAGTAACAATAAAATAATGGTGGGACTCGAACCTGAGTCGCCTGATCGGGAGTCATATGCCAGTCCACAAGACGAGTCCACGAGCTCAATGCTCGACTAGTTCTGCTTAAATATAACTGTAAGATAGGCTTATCGTGGCTTTTCACATTGCGCCCATGCACGCTTAGACGTAAAACACAGTCTGACGATGTAAAACATTCGTTTGATTTTGGGTGTAGCTGTTCAAGTTGATCTAAATTTATTTGGAAAAGGGTGTAGGGTGTCAACTGAACTAAACTCCTGAAATTCAATGAAATAAAACTCGTACAATCTTTGGTTTCAGTACGAAACACACGTGTTCAACGGATGCAGAGAAGCCCATTTCTTTTGTTAAATTCCTTTGTTGAATCTGGCGTTAACAATAAAATGTTTCCATTGAAGCGAAAGGATTAAACGCCGCGATCTTTTTTCACGCTTGAGTGCATCTGAATGGGGAATATTGAAGCGGAAAATCACGAATTACAGCACTTAGGCAGCATTTTATCCTACATAATGATACTTTTTGAAGAGGAAATTGCATACTGAATACAACTATAGTTTCAAAATTCAAAAATTCGCCGTATTTAAAGAGTCGAGGTAATTTTTTAGGAAAAATTTCACCAAAACTTTCCTCATCTTAACGTAGGCGGCGCTATATATATTCATTCCCGCACGTGCACCGTATCCAGAGTTGGCTAGCGCATTAGCGTGTGTGTGTTATGGCATTGCAAGGGGATGGGGGCGGGGCTGGCTTCCTTTTTTGAATACATATACAGTTTATAGCCCTTTTATTTAAAAAACATTTCTCCACTTACGACTTCAAGTTTAATAAATATATTTCGCTTGTTCCCCCCCCCCATCTCACACGACAAAAAAAATCCCGCCTCCCTCTTGCTCATGTGTATACCGGAGCCCTTTAATTAATATCCTGATACGCGTCACTTTTGTTCCATTAAAGTTGACTTTTATTCGGATTGCATTTTTTCACTGACCTTAATTATGTATTATTTTAGTTTTAGACCTATTCAACTTTTATTCGTGAGATAAATTGAAATTGTGATGCTAAAATGAGATTGGGTAAACAGGTGATACACAGATCGGGCGGCGGCTATCGCGCGCACTGAGAAGGAAATATATATATAGCGCCGCCTACGTTAGGATGAGGAAAGTTTTGGTGAAATTTTTCCAAAAAAATTTCCTGGACTTTTTAAATACCGCGAATTTTTGAATTTTGAAACTATAGATGTATTCAGTATGCAATTTCCTCTTCAAAAAGTATCATTATGTGGGATAAAATGCTGCCTAAGTGCTGTAAATCGTGATTTTCCGCTTCAATATTCCCCATTCAGATGCACTCAAGCGTGAAAAAAGATCGCGGCGTTTAATCCTTTTCCCTCAATGGAAACATTTTATTGTTAACGCCAGATTCAACAAAGGAATTTAACAAAAGAAATAGGCTTCTCTGCATCCGTTGAACACGTGTGTTTCGTACTGAAACCAAGGATTGTACGAGTTTTATTTCATTGAATTTCAGGAGTTTAGTTCAGTTGACACCCTTTACCATTTTCCAATTACATTTAGATCAATTAGAACAGCTACACCCAAAATCAAACGAATGTTTTACATCGTCAGACTGTGTTTTACGTCTAAGCGTGCACGGGCGTCAACGTGAAAAGCCACGATAAGCCTATCTTACAATTGTAATTAAGCAGAACTAGTATAACATTTGAGTGCCTTAATGGTCTTGTGGACCGGCGTAGGACTCTCAATCAGGCGACTCAGGTTCGAGTCCCACCATAATTATATTATTCTTTTTTTTTCTTACCTTCCCAACTTTTTATAGCTCCATGCCCAAACATAAATTTACTGAACTTATCTTTTAAATAAACTGAAATTTTGTTTTCAGAATCCCAAACAAACTTCCAAGAAAACAAACAAAACAATAACAAACAGGTATTTTTTTTCACTTTCATTTATTGTGATGATTTAATATCCTTTATTCAAAGAACTATGCACAGCATTCCAACAATATTTTAAGTACACATTTACTTTTAAAATTCACCTACACAATATTTACACTGCAAGAAAATATTTATCAGACTTAAAGGGCATGTACAACATTTGCTTCGCTGCAATTTTCAGAAATAAATGGATTTGGAGGATTAGTATGTTTTAGCAAATATTGTTAAAATGACTTTTTTCACGTTTGGGCTTGTAGATGCTGGAAAAGCCAAGAAAATCAGTCATGTATTTGCAGTCTGGTGACCCCACTTATAAGATAAAACGGAGCAACTAATAGACTTTGGGGAATCAAAAAGTCAGAGAATCAGTCTAGCAGACTTATACCTCTTCACAGGTGTGTAATCAATTGCAAAGAAAATAACTAATTATAAAAAAATTGGGAGCAATTTTTGAAAAATTGCCAGTTTTCTCCAATGCTGGTCGGCCGACCAGCGTTGGAAAAGTACCATTTTTCTTTAAAATGTCAGCACATCAGGAGCCACAATTTTACAGGATGCTTTAGACTGTCATTCCCCAACAATCCAGTAAGGTATTTCGTGATAATTTGATCATTTCGTTTTGTGATGTTTGCAAATGTTGTATCTTCCCTTTAAAGAAAGGCAGTAAACATTTAATGTTTTTACAGATGAAATAAAGAAATGAAGTCAGAATATCACACAATATTGGCAAAGAATGTTGCAACCTGACGCCACTTCAGCGGCGTTAAGTATGGAGCGTCAAGAAAATGTTCTCTTAAGTATTTCTCAGTCCCAGATTCATGTCTATTATCATCATTTTTGCAATGAATGACTTCACTGACATGATATGAAGAAAAAGCAGCATCAGGTTGCAACATTCTTTCCCAATATTGTACATGAAAAAAATATAGTATTTACAATGTGATAGATTGCCTTTGAGAAAGATTCTGTTGGATTGAAATTTCTGAAACTGACTTGGGACATGGATGACAAGATTGACTTTCAAGGATTTGTGTGGACTCGGGACTTGAATACAATCTGGGCCCAATTTTATGGCGCTGCTTAACAGTTACCAGATTGAGATCTACATGTACATTGTCACGTCAAAAGCTAAGCAAATTGTTCCTCTGAGGTATACATGCCTTTTGCTGTGTTTACTGCTTACGGCAAGTTAAGCAAATTGTTCCTCTGAGGTATATTAGCATGCCTTTTGCTGTGTTTACTGCTTACGGTAAGTTAAGCAAATTGTCTCTGAGGTATATTAGCATGCCTTTTGCTGTGTTTATTGCTTACGGTAAGTTAAATTGTTCCTCTGAGGTATTAGCGTGCCTTTTGCTGTGTTTACTGCTTACGATCTCCGTAATATAGACAGAGAGGCTCTGCTGGCAGAAATTGTGTGCTTAGCAGCGCTATGAAATTGGGCCCAGTACAAATCACTTATTTTCAATTTGTTTCATGCCTTCTGGACCTTACACCCAAATTGCTTGACAAACGTGCTCTGAAAACTTGTACATGTATATTTATATAAATATAAACCATTATTTAGTATAATTACATTACATACAGGCATGCAACTGGGAAATCATAAAAAAGAGGAAATTCAAATTTTTCCCAGACTTTGTACAGTGTTTTTCTATTTTCAATGGCACACATGGGAAGTAAAAAAAGAGGAAATCAGCTGATCCGAGGAAAAGTTGCATGCCTGTACATACAGATGACTACCCCCTCCTTGAATAACCATTCCTGGCCCATTCTCATGCCGTTGGGTTGTCTCTAAACAGGCCCAAGAAACTCCAAGATACAAACTTGCAGAGTTGTCCTACATGTAAGCAACATTTGTGACGTGAACATTCACAATTATGATGAACATTTCAATGCTGCCTGACTGACTGTCCGACCGAGTCACTGAGTATTAACTGATCGAGTCAGTCACTATTATCACTGACTGACCGAGTCACTGACCGAATCACTGACTGCGCGATGAGACACTGACCGAGTCACTGAGTCACTGCATGACTGAGTCACTGAGTCACTCAATGAGGCACTGACCGAGTCACTGACCGAATCAGTGACTGCGGGATGAGACACTGACCGAGTCACCGAGTCACTGCATGACTGAGTCACTGAGTCACTCAATGAGGCACTGACCGAGTCACTGACCGAATCACTGACTGCGGGATGAGACACTGACCGAGTCACCGAGTCACTGCATGACTGAGTCACTGAGTCGCTCAATGAGGCACTGACGGAGTCACTGACCAAGTCACTGAGTTGATGACAGCCACCACGTTGCTCAATGAGTCACTGAGTGATTCACTAACCAAGACATTGACCGAATCACTGACGAGTCACTGACGAGTCACTGACCGAGTCACTGACCGAGTCACTGACTGAATCTGACTGAATCACTGAGTTGCTGATCGAGTCACTGAGTTGTTGACTGAGTCACTGACCGAGTCACACAGTCCAGCTTAACCAGGCAAGCCTACTTTGTTTATGCCATGAGAGACTTAAGCCTCTCTCCAGAACTGTTGTTTTCTCCTGCATAACCATCTTGCCAAAGCTAAATAGAGAAATATTTCAAGGCAAATTTCCCAATGTGAAGAACAAATACTTTGGAAAATCCCTTTGCGAAGCAGGACATTTGGGATGTACAAATCTAAACAATCTCAAGACTAGGATAGGGACCACCTCAGGAAACTGGTACCCTGTTGTCCTTGGCCCACTTCTTCATGACACGGATGATGTATTCCACCTGCGGGTTACTGGTGTTGCGCAAGATTTGGAGGATGTCTCACAGAGTGTTTCTCTGTAGAGGAAAAAAAATGACAAAAATCTAGTGGCTTGAACTTCACTGGGTTTTGTGCACATAAAAATGAAAGCTATTAACAAGATGGACTTTGCGTCGGGATGATGCATTTCAATATTAAGATTTGCCCTTCAAAAAATCACTCGGGTGGGATTTGAACCCATGACTCGACCACCGAGTTTACGAGATTGGTGGTCCAGTGGTAAGATGTCTGCACTAGAAAGCAGGAGGTCATGGGTTCGAGTCCCAACCGAGTGATTTTTTTCCAACTTTCACTCGGGAGGTAACGCACTGAGTAAACAGTGTTTATAAGTCGGTGAAGGGCAAAACCTAATAGTGAAAATGAAAGCTGTTCATAGAATATGGGGACAAAGGAAAAATCCATAAAGATCAATGAATTTAAACTAAAGGGGTAAGAAGTTGAAAAGTATTCATGAAAATTTGTAATAAAAAGCCGTATCCTCTCTGAGTGATCCCTGTTTTATATTTCCCAGGTCTGCATCGTGACTCTGGGCGTGATCCCTGGCTGCATGGCATATGCGGGTTGAGGGCTTCTGACTAGCGCCCCTTTGACAGAGACATTGACAATTAGGGAACCGCCAACATTGGGCTGGATAGCTCAGTTGGTAGAGCACCGGAGTGATATACTAATTGAGATGTAATTGGTCAGTACGCACTGTTTGATTGATGAACTGTGGTCACCTGACTGTCACCTGACCAAAGGTTGAGATCTGATTGGTCAGTGTGCACTGTTTGATTGATGTACTGTAGTCACCTGACCAGAATTTGAGATCTAATTGGTCAGTGTGCACTGCTGATTGACAGAGATGACACCCACCTTGGTTCATGACCAGCAATGATCTGCTGGAATACGCCCACGCACGCCCCTCGCTTGCCTTCCCAGTATTCAGGATTGGGGTCCAATCTTTCCAGGACATCGAAAGCATAGTAGAACTGGCCCATCTACCGACAGAAAAGTTGGAATATGAAAATTGAGAGGAGACCTTGACAATTCCAATTTGAGGTCGAGCAAAAAAACCAGAAGTTTGAATGAAAAGCCTGAATTTTTCGATCATATCCCACCGTGTTGAAATTGTCCAAAAATCAATATTTTAAGCAGTTTGGGATTTTTGGCTATTCTAATATTTTATGATGCCCTCTACATGCTTACCAAAGTTGGGACACAAAAGTGCATCCTTCATTATTCAAGCTAATGACACAAAGTGGTAAATGTGCAATGAATCATTTTTTTCTTTTTTTGACGGGGATTCGTATTCTCGTTGATTTTACACGTGGGAAACAATGTTGCAACCTGACGCCACTTTTGTCTTCACACATCATCTCAATAAAGATCAGTCATTGCAAAAATGTTTCACAAACATGAATCTGGGACTGAGAAACACTTCCAATTTGGTTCAGAAATACTTGGAAAGTTTTCTTGACTCTCCATAGACTTTGTACACAACCGCTGAAGTAGCGTCTGGATACTGCATTCTTTTCTACACATGCGTTATATTTAGATTTATGTCTCCTCTACCATTTGCGCTTGGACGAAGTGACCAATCTGTTTTGTGAAATCGGCTGCAGGTTGAGATTGAGTGACTGGATACTAATTTGGGGCTAATGCCAAAATCTTGACCAAACATCCAACGGACTAAAATAGGGGATGATGATTTACCTTGTAGCCGTCGTTGGCAATGAGCTGCAGCAGGCTGAACGATTCGCCAGACGTCTCCATCTTAAGGTACAACTCCCAGGCTAGTCTGGCCTTACGATTCATGATGTCTGAACAACGAAAACAACACAAAGAAAGGTTATAAATACATAGGATACTGCTGTAAGAAAACACATTGGGGTCCACAAAAGATGGTTCGGTTCAGTGGATGCTCATTTCAGCAATTTTCGGCCAGCAATGCTCAGTGTAACTGTGTACAATATTTGGGAGCCAAGAGGGATGTTCAATGTAGCAAATTTCTGTCGTACAATCTGCTTGAAATGTGATAGAACAAATCCAACATGGCAAATATAGGATTAAGATGTGACGTTTACACGTATGAAACAAACAAACTTCTTACTCCGTTTACTAATTTTTCAAAACATTTAAACAAAACCCGAATTATATAAAAGGGACCTCCGTTCACGCGATCTTCCTTTGAGACAGCCACACATACATGTAGCACAAATAATTAACGTTGTTTTCAAACCTACTTAATTTACAAAACCTTAGAAGCACCTCATAATTGATTACATTTGGGGAACAGGTAGAACATGTTTACTTTATCAACGACTGCCCGCTATTTACTATGTCAACCATTGTTGATTTATCATGTCAATCACCCCGGTCTGCAGATCAGACAAAATGGGTAGGCAAAAGCCACTGTCAATGGCTAAACGTTTAAAACAGTTCGTAAAATATTTGCTCAAGGTTTACAAAATAAAACGCCAAGTCACATCCTTAATATACGATCAGAGCAAGTGCATGCTGGTTATGTCACTGTTAGAGACACGTCAGTCTACCTCACACATGGGCAACATGTGCATCTCCCTAATGCCACTCTGGATTTTCCAGTAGTACATGAAATGCATGCACGCGATGTGTCGTGACTTTAGTTGGACATTTGCTTGTGCAGTCACAATTGTGAGTGCATGGTCAATACATTATGAGTTGAGGCTTAACAGGTAGATTCATTCCCATAATTAGCAACTTTGAAGTTGGAAGAAGAAACGTCATTAACAACTGACGGTAATACTCACAGCATCTTGCCAACCAGAGACACGTGTAGTCATTCTTGATCTTCTCACTCTGAATGAGCATATAAATCTGGAAAACAAGAGAAACGATTAACCCACTCCAATTAATTCATGGTAAAACCAAGTGTTCCCCACCAAAACAGTGGTCTAGGAGGCACAGAAAGATCCCCATCTGGATTTTAGACTTGTTTTTTTTATGCCTATTCGCCCTGAACAAGGCTAAAAGCCACTCCAGATATACAGGGCTACAAGTCAGAGCAAAGCAGCTAAATCAACCACACCATCTCTGCCCTCATAGGTACCCACTTATAAGCCATCAGTGTGGGGGTTTGGTCAGTATCAAATGAGGGGAATAATGCTCATTGTGATTTTTGGCAAGGAATGCACCCCTCTAGTCAAAAAATATGCGACAGCATTGCAGTGGTGGCAGCTTTTTGGGTGCTATCCCTCGTTTTCTTTTTTAAAATGGAGGCCAAAACATGCTTGTAATTACCACATATAATTTATTTGGTTCAAGCATATTGACGTACGGCCATTTTGAATGAAAACACAAATCAAAAGTGATAACACCCAAAAAACTGCCACCACTCACACTGCAAAGCTATCACGCATTCTCCAACTCTAGATATGCCTTTCAAAAAATCGCTATGAGCATTGCTCTTTTCAATCGTCTGGTACCGGTGGCCCATTTTTTGGACCAAAGCTGAGAGCCTATTACTCCTGGGTAGGGACAAGCAATGAGTAAAAAGTGCCTTGCCCAGGGGCACACGCACCACAACCCCAGGCTGGACTCGAACCCACAACCTGCAGCTTTACCCGCAGACCACGAATCCAACGCCCTTAACCACGAGGCCACAGCACTCCACACTCCTCTTGAAGCAGGACAGATCATAGGTTGGAGGGAAATAAGCACCAGGCAAGGAATTCCAAAGAGATGCAGCACGTGGGAAAAAAAGCTATTGCAATATATCTTTTTGTTCTACATCTAGGTATACGGCAACAGTAGATGGATGGGAACAGACAGAAAGTCAAGCTTCTCTCTCAAACAGGGCTGACCATCGGTGGAAATTGATACAAAATCCCACTTTTCTTGAAAATGACAGCACACCAGGTGCCGTTATTTCACAGGATGCTTGAGACTATTATTCACTAACAGTCAAGATAATTCATAATAACTTGGCAGTTTTGGTTTTTGATGTTTGCAAATGAAAGGCGCCATGACTAGTTCCTGATTGGTCGATCCATGGCAACAATGTGGTATTATTAGTTATCCCGCGAGTGCGAGTGGAACACGGAATAATGCAGTGTGTCTGTGTCCCACATTCGGCTGAGTGGTATGTGGGACACAGACGCACTGCATTTTTTGTGTTCCACAAGCGTGAGCGCGATAACAAATTTATCTTTCAGCAAACTTGAGGCACAGTAAGATGAAACACACATGCCGCTGTTCATGTTCGTATGGAATGGCGCGCGCATCTTAGAATAGTGCAATATGCGGAGTGCAGTATGGACTGTGGCCGTGCTACATTGTTATATGTAGCACGGCTTGTTGCCATGGATTCACCAATCAGGATCGAGGATTCAAGTTTATTTGAAGATAATATCTCATATACCATGGTCCATATCACACTCTGCCTATCATACGGACCCAACCATCGCTGAGAACAGACAGTTATCTAAAATACTACATCTGTTAAACAGCTGTGAGTTGGCTGTTGACTTCATGCATATACTTGGGTACACTACATATATCTGTGCATTACTTTCCCCTGACAGAGCTGGCACTCAGGCACTCCCTGTGACCTATGGGTTCTATGCATGACAGATTCTACAAACTGCACTTTGAGGGATGAAAAAGAACAGCTTTTTTTTCGTGGTTTTTCAGCATGGAGACACAATACATTGAACAGCTCAGTGGAACGACGTCAGCTATAAATTATTAGCCCTTAAATTTGGTCCAGTTCATGAAATGATGGCAAATGATCCTATATGCCTTGAACTCAGCTTACTTTCCCGGCTGGTCCTATCTGATTTTGGCGAGCGCTGTGGCTCGTCTGTCGGTGTTCTGGAAGATGGCCTGTATCAGGCTCTTCACGTCACTGGCGCTGAACACCATAGCGAGTGGTCCCTGGAATGACGGAGAGAATCACAGTCTCAAATGTTTAAAGAGAAACTAGACAAGAAGAGGAGTTCCCAACATAAACAATGTTTTTAATTTTAAAGTTGAGCAAAGAGCAGGGGTTGAACCTGTGACCTTCGGATTGCCGTTCCGGTGCTCTACCAACTGAGCTATCCAGCCCAATGTTGGTGGTTTGTCAATGTCTTTGTTCAAGGGGCGCTAGTCAGAAGCCATAATCCTACATATGCCATGTAGCCAGGGATCACGCCCTAAGTCACGATGCTAGCAACATCAGCAATGCTGCAAACCTACAAATACCAAACGGGGATCACTCAGACAAGAAACAACTTTTTTTATTACAAATGGGGAACTGCCAGCATAGGGCTAGATAGTTCAGTTGATCGAGCACTGGAACGACAATCCGGAGGTCATTGGTCCAAACCCCACTCCAGTCAATTTCTTTGTTCAACCTGAAAGAATTTTCCAGCTTATAATTTGAATCTGATTTGTGTTGTATCTCACCTTGCCCTCCGCCCACCTGTCAACAATATCTTGCATGCTGGCATCTAGCATAAACAGCATCTCGCTGAATGACATCCACTGATCAACGGTACTCTGCACCAAAACTGGTTCCTACGCATCAATCAAAATACGAACAGTCAACCTCCTTTACAATAAGGAATACACTTCTACATGGGCGTCGCTAGGATTTTTCTAGAGGGGGGCAACATTTTTTTTGCCCAAAAATACTTGTATTTCTCAACACATTCTCGCTTTATCAGTTTTAGAGGGGGGGCAGGGACATTTTGCCCCCCCCCCAACTCATTAAATTTACACAACACTTTGTCTTCGCGCCTCTTTTTCTTTCTTTCTTTTTTTTTCCTTCTTTTTTTTGTTTTTTTTGGCTTTTCCCCTTGCCCCCCCCCCTCGCGACGCCCATGCACTTCTAGTTGTTTGAAAAGTGGATTTGTGGGCAATTTATGAGCAAATGAAGCATAAGCTTGCAATGGTAATCACGTATCGTTCAAGCGATGCATTATCGGTCGTGTCCATCCTCTGCAACAATATATACAGAGATCATACACTTTTCTAAGCTATGGAGTAGTCTGCTACACACCTAACAAAAACCAAAGTGATTCATTTTTTTAATGTGAACTAATGCACCTCTCAACGGTAATGTGTGGTTTGCATTCAACAGAATGTGCTTGTTAAAAACAAACAACCAACATTTGTGTTTATGTTTGGTATGCACAAAGCAACACACTGTGCATTATTCAACACATGATATACATCACTTTGTGGGCCACCTAACATCTTATCAACAAATTCTGCAACAACAAACAAATTAGATTCAGGAATTGCTTTCTTACCTCATCTTCTCCTGGTTTGATCAAGTGTGGAATTCTGTCTTGCAGTCCCGAGAGTAATGAATGTAACTGCTGCGCATCATCAGCTGAGATGTCCTGTCAAGTTGAGCAATCAAAAAAAATGTTCTAACCAATTAGTGGCAGTATTCCACAAGGATATCACAGACGAAACAAGTGTGAATGCACAATAAGCTCTGGTCACCTTGCATGAAATGATTGTGCATAAAAACAAGCCCGGGCAGCCGTCTCACGTGAAAATCACGAGCTGAAAATTGACCAAAATAAGCCCCCTAAGTTTCCCATCAATATAGCGGGCTACACACTACGTGACTATTAACATTATTAAGCATTATCTTGCCTCCATTTACAAAATTTTCATAAACAACTTTACAAAATGTTACAAACAATTTTTGTTAACTATATCACTGTTTTTGATTGCGAAAATGTTGTAGTTACATTATATTGGAAACTTAGGGAGCTAGCTTTTGCTCAATTTTCCGAGGACAGACATATGCAAAATAGATGCGCATACGCATCGATCAAGACAAATCTCGTTTTCCGATAACTTTCGTCAAGAGTGCATTTACTGACAACGGCATGGCATTTTGTCAATTTTTGGTCAAATAGTTTTGGTCAATTTTTTGGGGACAGACAGACAGACTGACCAACTGACCACCAAGTGACATGTAAAAGCTCCTGCCACAGCTTAACAATAGTCCCTAAGACATGCTGAGTTAGGAATTTGTTGGCAGCCTATGCACTCCATGCACAAGTACCACCTCCACACTTTCAAAAGGAGAGTTCAGGGAGACCACTGGGAGGGACAATCTAATGCATTGCCAACGGCGCCTGACGCCCATGCCAAGACGCCAGAGGTTTGCACAGAATTCAATCAGTTGTGTGTTCTTTACGGCATACCTGCATGAAACAGTCAAATACTTTAGGGATCTTCTCACCTCAAGTGACGAGACTTTCTCCACGATGTGCATGAGTACCACGTTGATTGTAGACATGGCCTTGGTGAAGATGTTACTGGGGAGGATGTCGGTCCAGACTCGCTGGAGGTGACCCAACTGATGGACAACCTGCATTGGGATAAAGACAGGGATGAGATTGCCTCTGAAAGATGCATTCCTTTCGAGACCGGTAATGTCTTTCTCTCAGATTCAAAAGGTCTGATTTCAGACAAAATCGTGCCTGTTAAAGGCTTAATATACAACATTTGCTTTTGCTGTAATTTTCAGAAATGCAAAATGGAGGATTTCTTTAAAGGATTTGGGAAGATTCCTAGCCAAAAAGGCAGAGGTGAAACTTTACTTTGACTTCATTTTTATCAACAAAATTGAATATTTGAATATTCTTATGTGAAAATCCAAGTCCAAGATAAGGCCGAGTAAACCCCCCCCCCCCCAAGATGGTTGATTTTCCAAGATGATGAATTGATCGATGCATTCTCTCGACTCTTTTGCTGGTACAAAATTGTGTCGGAAGGAGCTGTCACCCCTTCTACAAAGGTACAATTTCATTAGAAACAAATACATTGACAATACATTTGTAAATTATTTTGTAAATATATGAATAAAAACAACACAACAAAGGAAGCGAGCAGGAAAAACCCAAGTGGGCCATGGCAAGAAACTGGTTTATTTTTCACTTGGCCTAAAATTTTGGATTGTTGCCGAACCTACTTGTTTAATGGCCCTCTCACACGCCAAGAAGTTGTCGTCAGTCGCTACTTGGTCAAAGCCCTCAGCACCAGACAGACTCTCCACTAATTGATCTCGCTGAATTCTCTGCAACATAGAAGCGGTAACAATAACACAATGAGGAAGGTTATTTTGCTTGAATGTGCACATTTGACATCACATAACATTCAAAGCCAAATTCGCTGCAGGTGACTTGATCTGCAACTCCTGCGATCTGCAGCAAGAATACCTGCTGTGATGTCAAAACTTAGGATTGGTGAATCCAAGAAAGATACACTGGCCTTAACCCTAACCCTCCAGGGTATTCAGGCTAGAAACCCTGCTAAATGCAGCAATGTGTAACACTTGTCAAAATGACATGTCTGCTCTTTCAGCAAGATCTATCAGGTCAAAAATCTCCAGTCAAAACTGCCTCCGAGTCTGTGGTCACTGAATGCAGCAGGATACAACTGTGGCATTTTTCAATGAGACTAGCTTCGATTGTTTTAGAATTGGCCGTCTATGCAATGGTGTTGGTGGCTCAGTGCAGCAAGGTCCCACAGAGGATTACACCTGATGTACAGTGTTAGGGTTAACAAGCGGCTAAGTTCTACATCAATAATTAAACAAGCTCGATCGGATCTTGGAGGCTGCGGGCCAACAAATGCATGTGCAACTTATTTTGACGTTTAACCCCATAGCTGTAGGTCAGATGAAGAGGACACCAGTGACATGTTTTAATGTTTGACCCACAACCAACATGTTGACAGCGCTACTTTTGTCATTTGAGCTTATTTGGAATTTGACAATATCTTAACCTTGACCCCATGATGACCTTTAACCCCAGTTTGGTCATGTGACATGGTGGGGCTGGGCTACTGATACTTTTGACAAAGTTGGGTTAAAATCTGTCAAAGTATGTAGGAGCAACAGACAATGTCAACGTTTGTTACTAACTGACTAACGAACGAACTAACTAGCGAACGGACTAACGGAGAGACATGATGATTTGTTGAGCTGCTAGCCGCTGCTAAAAACTCAGTGCTGAAGATTAGTCCGACTGAAATATTGGGAGGTACAGTAGAAACCCAACATGTGTTGACTGGGTACAAATGAGAAAAAATAGGCTGCTATTTTTTTTACCATTTGAGCCAAGAAACATTCGGATGCCAGCTTCCTGAAGACAGAAATTAGGTCGACAAACATGGACGTGCCATCACAGAGGGGCGGGGGTAAGGATTGACGATACTGATGGCCCAGCGTCAACAGGTGATGGGCGATGTACATGCAGTTGTTGTGGTGGAGAGCGCACACCTGGGGTAGCTTTTGCTGTTTCACAGGAAAAATGAGAAAAAATAATGCAGAATTCAAGATTTCTGTAAAGCAATTGTAAGACAATATCAATATTACTTTGGTTGTTGATTTCATCCTTGCTTTAACAAGTTCAAGTTGAGATTATTTTGACAAGAACGGAACGAAGAGCGGGATATATTTTCACTCGACCTCAAGCCAGGCGGGTTGAAGCCATCACCCACGGGCAGCACACTCATATTTCCAGCCTCGCTTGCTGCAAGCGGGTCGCTGACAGATATTTCCGGCCTTGCTCCCTGTGTGTTTATCTGTCATCTTTGCGTGTATACATGGCGTCCGGCATGAACTGGTTTAAGGAACATGGGAATATTTGCCTTTGGTGGAATTTTTTTTTGGGGGGGGGGGGCTCAATATTGCTCAAAATCTTAAGAAGGGTGCATAACAACTAACTTGTTGACATTTCAGCTCAGTGGTTACTATACATTTTGAGAAAACAGAGAAAATGTTTGCACAATTTTAGGGGTCTCATAACTGGATTTCATTGCTAACACATGAAAAATATGTGCCAGCGGGCACACTTTCTAAAAGCACCTTCACTGATTATTTTCTTCTGAATGATACCAGGCAGAATAGTTTCAATCATAAGTTATTTGTTACCGGTCCTATCTTCACTTTGAGCTAGGATTTTCTCGTTAAATCAATAGGTATGTTTCGGGATAATTGCAAATGTCCCTATGTGCCATTAACAACCCAAGTTAGCAATTCGTCATGTTCGTGCAACAAGGTCGTATCTCCTAAAATGGGCCGTACGAAAAACGCGAGTTTCAGAACGTCAAAAGGTCGTATCTTACTTAAAATAACCCGGATGTAACACACAAAGTCAACAGACGTTGAGATACAACGTTTTTACACTGAGTTTATTCGTGCAAGATACAACTTTTTTGCCGAATGGAGTTACGACCTTATTGCACTGACACGACAAATTCATATTTTGTTAGTGTATTTTAAACACGGGTAGCATTTGCTTTTGCAAAGTTTGGATCTTCATTGGATCACAGTTGACAGGTTGAGATTTTCAACCCGGGTTGAGAGGCTCTAGTGTAAAAAGGCCTTTAGTGACTACTCATGTTCACTTCTGACTCATGTTCACTACATGTTCACATTTTCATGACACAGACTTGGACTCTATTTATTCGTGCATTTGTTGAAAATAAACTGGCCAAATTATTTACAAAAATTAGGCCTACTCGGTGAAAAATTAGTAATGGTACAAAATCTTCCCATAAAATGTGTCAGTTGCCCCACAAAGTGATATATCGTGTGCACGAGGTCCATAGATGATCTGTCACTTTGTGGTGCACCTGAAAAATTGTTACATCTGACATAATATCATTTTGAAGAAAAACTGCATATTGAAAAAGTCTTCTTTTTTCCAATGGTCTTTTGACTAATCTCCAAGACAATCTTTGAGCACCTATCTCTGCATTTCGGACAGTTTGTTTTTAGCAACTATGACATTTAGCACATGACAGTGAAATTCAGAAGTACCGAATGACCGTTTAAAGAAGTCTAGAAGTTGACTCACCAGACTATCTCTGTGGTATGTGGGTACGACATCACAAAATATCTCAAACATGTTTCGCACTGTGTAGAACAGCTGGATGGCACTGCAAACATACAAATAAGACATTAGCAAAAATCCTTTACACTATGTGGGTTAATGTTGAATATATTGCGTACACTGACCTACAAAATGTTCAACACAATTCAATTTGCCTGGACAAAAGGCAAGAGGGTTGTGGGTTTGAATTCAGTCGCTGGTCATATGTTGGGCAAGCCACTTCATCCCCACTTGACTCTCTTAAACCAGGAGTACAAATGGGTACCGGCATTAGCTGAGGAGTAACTAAAGATGGACCAGCATCCCATCCAGGGTGAATAGAAATATTCCCGGTCATTTCATGCAAAGGAAACCATAGATAAATGGTGGCCTGATGGGCCATATTGGCTCACGACAGACTTTACTTTACTATAAACACATCAGATCAGGCAGTTGACATGGGTGGCGCAGTGCGTAAAGCACTTGCCTCTCACCGCTGTGGCCTGGGTTCGATTCCCGGATCGGGTAATATGTGAGTAGAGTTGCTCATTAATTCTCTCCTGTGCCACGAGGGTCATACGATGACTGCTTGAGGCCCTTGTACATAACATGCCTTCGGCTCAACCACGTTGCAGCCGTGTCCTTCACAATTCAGCTTCTGCTGCGAGTAAGGATGATTAGCCCCCTAAATTAATCTATGTCCAACTCACCATTGTGGTGTGTTACTAGCAGCTTCTTGTAATGTCTGGTAGGCTAGATTAACAAGACACTCTATGCTTTCACTGACTGCACACTCAGGCAGTGCAAAGATACCCTCGCTGACGTGGCACTTGTCCTGAAAGAAGTAAAAAAATATGCATTGCAAGTGTCCTCAAGTGAAATTGAATATTTAAAGGGAATATACAACATTTGCAAACATCGAAAAACAAAACTAGCATTTTTTACGCAACACCTTACTAGGATGTTGGTAAATGACAGTCTAAAGCATCCTGTAAAATTATGGCACCTGGTGTCAAGTCATTTTCAAGAAAATGGTATTTTTGTACACATTTCCAACGGTGGTCGGCCGACCACCGTTGGAAAAACCTAACTATTTTTCAACTACTGCTCCAAATTTACTATTTTTTTCAGTCCAAATTTTGTTTGCTATTGGTTACATGTTCATGAACGGATGCAGGCCAGCTAGACTGGTTCCCTTACCTTACAATTTCCGACATCTATAAATTGATCCATTTTATCTTTAGCGGAGTCAGGGAACCAGACTACTTAAACAATATTTGTTTTTCTTGGTTTTTCAAGCATTTTCGAACACAAAACTTCAAACATGTCACTTAAACAATAATGGATCTATTATACTAACCCCTCAAATAGTTCATTTCTGAAAATTACAGCAAAAGCCAATGATGTACATTCCCTTTAATATGATAAGTTCATTCAACACATTTCAACAAAAAATATTTCAATTAATGTTTTAAACTTGCAAGAACTCTTAAAGGCTGATTAGAATGACAAAATCAAATCCAGTTTAGTCTTGAAGCGCACAATTTCCAACAAATTCTAACCTTGGCATCTTGTATTTGATCTTTGACGTTCTTGTTGTCAACCTTCATTGTACCGACTCTCTTTGTATTGTGCAGCTCTCTCTTCATCAGCTTGCGGGCTTCAACTATCAGCTCTTGACACTTGCAAAAAGGAAATAAACCAAACATAAACAATGTCAGGGATGTAGTCAAGTACATCACAAGTCCAGTCACAAGTCCAGTCACAAGTAAATCACAAGTCCAGTCACAAGTAAATCACAAGTCCAGTCACAAGTCCAGTCACAAGTCCAGTCACAAGTCCATCACAAGTCCATCACAAGTCCAGTCACAAGTCCAAACAAACTGAATGTTGCTATTAAAGAAATGTTGCCACAACATATTGAGAAGTACCTTAAAAAAAATAATTCACCTTTTTGTTAGCAAAGTGGACATTGACATCTCTGGCGTAGGTCAGCAGTGGAGAAGCAGTTTCTGCAATAAACCCTGAATAAGAGAAATTCTCTGCTATTTCAAATATTCAGCTTCAAGGCAGTGTTTATTTCATTATTTATATGAGGCTTCCAGCGGTCAAAAATAAATCAGCGTATTGTATGCTTTTGTGAAACGAACCAAGATAGCAATCATTTGGAAATTCTCCGGCGCGCCCTCATCCAGGCATTTTTGCTGGAAACTCACAGTTGTCAACCACTCAACAGAGCGTAGTGCGCGGTACCGTTGAACAAAGACGCCCACGCAGCGAGCATGCAGCGCGCAGCAGGCCAGATATATGCGCACTGTTGTAAACAATTACAATGGCAGCTTCCAATAGTCTGACGAAAAAGGAGAAATGAAGACAGTGTCTTGAATTGTATTTCTAGCGAATTAAGTCAGCTCGATATAAAAAATAATAATATAGGATGGCTTTTTTGGGGGGGGATACAAGAATATATTGTCTTCGACTCGTGCAATATTGTCATAGCTCATGCAATATATTCTTGTATCCACCTCAAAGCCATCCAATATTATATAAATATTCTGTATGATTATTTGTTTTGGTTTGCTGTGTAACTGCTGACTAACCTGTTTTCCGTAGAGAAGCTTCAAATCCCTTGGTAGCCGTGATGACAGCTTTGTATTCATTGAGCTAAAATGGTGAATATGATAAAATAAACAAATTAACAAATGTTATCATACACTATTTCTGTAAATACATTTTCAAACATGAATATTCACTTCACAGCATTAAATGTGCAGACTTCTTTTTTTTTTTATTCACATACACCACAAAATCACAAGTGAATTTTATTGTTTCTACCAAATTGGCACAATTCCATCACTGAAAACCTCCCGGTTCGATTTTCAGTGTTTTAATTTCTAGAATAATTTTTTACCCTCAAATTTTCCATTTAAGATTTTCAAATAATATTCTAATAAAATAAACTTTAAAGGGGCACTAGGTCCTGAAATCCCCGAAAATTTCAGGTTTTGGATTGTTTACTTATCCTACAATAAACTCCAGCTAAGACGGCACTCTCGGGACCAGAGAATTTGTGACGACTTACGCGAATGTCGGCTTCTGCTGCAAGTCGTCATTTTGCCGACTTACACAAATACACAAATTAAATCACAAATACACAAATTAAATAGATCGCGAGGGGAGCTCTCGGAATTGAACGGGAAATTTCACTTTTCATCCGACTCGTAAGCAAACTTCAGCACCTTGATTTTAATCATCGATCTCTCCTTGTACCTCAGGTGGCGTATCTAGTAATTTGAAGGCTGTTTTGAGGTAAATCTGATGTTTTTATTTGCCAAAGTTGTGTTTTTTGGGGGGTCAACGGCGGTCGGCAGAATAGTGCCGCGCAACTTTTCTCATGGTTTCTAGAGAATCGCCACCAAAATCATTGAAAAATTTATACGATAAAAAGTCGATTTATACTAGCTTCGTAAATGCCTGTTGCATCGTATGAGGTATGAATTATGGAATCTGGGTCGGGATAATATAGGGAAAAGGGACCGTTTTTGTAATGCACTGGGGATACAGAGTCCGGGATTTCGGGACTCTTACGACCCGGTACTTTTAACGTAGTTGTGACTCCAGGGGGGTCAGACAAGTCGACCGTTGAGACAACTCGACTCGGGACAAGTCGACCGTTGAGACAACTCGACCATTGAGACAACTCGACCGTATGTGTGATAAATGGAAAGACAAATCGACCGCTGAGACAAGTCGACCGTTGAGTCAAGTCGACTCACTTGTTTTGGGGCCTAGTTTTGGGGATAGTACTGGGGATTTTGACGGCAGCTGATCGCCGATTTGGAGTTATGACACATGAGTTTTTTTGTTGCATCTCAAAAAAAAAAACTGAGCCGATATAGCGCAGTGAATTGACCGTGCACATCGTCCGTTTTTCCGGGCCACGCGCATCCCCGGTCAACGTGGCCGTACCGTGCATGGTGACGTCGTTTTTGCCGGGCCTGTGCGCGCACTTATCCCTGGTCAATGTGGCCGTGCCGTGCACGGTGGCATTGTTTTTGCCGGGCCTGTAAGCCCACTTGCCGCGCCGGTCAATGTGCCCGCGTGCCGGGCCGGGCCCGGTCCTCGCATGCAGGGCGCGCCGGCCCAACGCGCCGGCCACCGGATCGGAGCGCGCCTCTGTGCATCGAGTATGCCCGTGCTGTGCCCGAGTTCTGCCACAGATGGCAACTTTTTCCGCTCCACGTGTATACATTTTCATTGAGTCGAGCTGTCTCAACGGTCGAGTTGTCCCGAGTTGAGTTGTCAAACCGGGCGACTTGTCTCAAGGGTCGAGTTGTCTCAACGGTCGACTTGTCCCGAGTCGAGTTGTCTCAACGGTCGACTTGCCCGACATTCGACTCCAGCTCTAATGCGATAGGCATTAGGGCTGAAGTTACTCAAGCTAAGTTACATCATGGGACTATGTCATTGCCAATTACCCCTAGAACTTAGCTGGAGTAACTCCAGCTGACATGCTCATAATATTCATTCACATGTATCGCTGGAGTGTGGTAGCAAGAGACCCTAAAAAAATGGCCTCTCAAAAATTGTTCATTTTCACCTCTAATATCCCACCTCGGATTTCATTTACATACCTCGTAGATTCAGCAGTCATTCACAGAGCCTAATGATCGACTTGAAACGACCATACAAAAAAACGTCTGGTGAGGTCAGGAAGATCACTGGTGGAGCTGTTGAGCTGGGAACTGATGTCTCCCTGAATACCAACAAAAAATAAAGATACCAAATTGACTTCTTTTGACAATAAAAAATAACATCTTAACCAGTTTGCATCAGAGGACGTGATAAGACGTACTGGCTGTTTTTATGCACAGGCAGGGCTGATGGATTTTCTAGGGTTAAAAGGTCAAAATTGCCTCCACTCACCTCCGGGTAACATTCTGCTTTTGCACACACACAAAAGTCTGAGAAGTCATACAGGCCAGACTGTGTGTTGATCTTGAATTGGCCGTTGTGCATGGCCAATTGTTTGACAATTTACGTTCCAGTGCACACCTCAAAGTATTGAACCATATGAGGTTTCGGCACAAAGTGGGACGCTTGGGTAAAAAGAACCCCTATGCCAAATATCAGGCCAAAATATTTTCATGAAAAAAATGCATCATTTTACCAACTTGCTGTGCTCACATTTGTATGGCCCTTAGCACAGAGATTACTCCAGTGTGTGGCCATAGAATAGGCTAGGTTTTTACCAATGGTGCAATAAGTGATAACTACAGACACCAATGCCTGTCTCATCAGACAGCCCCACATACCTAGTCTAGGGGCTAGACGTTATTATGGTTTGATACGCGATAACCCCTGCAGCGATAACCCGCCGCAAGAGGGAGCTCTCACTCATGACCAACCAATATCACCCACCATCAAAACTTTCTACATGCAGTTTACCATTACTTTTATATAGACATGAGGCTAGGATATTTCCAGGTTTTAGTGAAATTCATCCAATTGCCTTTAAATTCTGTTATACAAAATTACATAAAGACCCTGAGAAATCTTCACCATGGAGAACATCGTGAACTCTTAATAGAGCACAAACTGTATTATCATTATCGAGAGTTGAATGCTTAGAGAGCAAACTCACCACAAATCCAAAATGTCTTGGGAGGTTTTGGATCTCAATCTTGAAGATCTCTGAGGTGAAGTGCTGTTGTGTCCGATAGTGATAAGGATCCGTTATAGCAGCGCCAGTCACTGGTACGTCAGAGGTGCTGGTGGAATGGTTATCTTGTGGGTCAAGACCTGATAGACAAAAACGAACAATTAAAAAACCAACTCCAATCAGAGAAAATAAATTTACTTTGATTTTTTTTAAGCATGAGATATTTGTAAGTTTAATTATGAGTTTTCAAGTGAGACACTGCACAACAAAATCAGTTCACACTGACAAACAGATCAATGAATTGCAAATTTTGAATAAAAACATCCCAAAGTTGAATACTGTTAATATAGATGTACAACAATTGTACACAGTACCTGAAAAAAAAATTAATGCTTTAAAATATGAACCTCTTTGTAAAGTTAGAGATAAACCTATATATAAATATCTTAATTTGGACGGTTCCCAAAAATGACCAATTTCTACAAGCTGCTGTTGTGTGCGCAATTCAAAACTGCCAAGCACAAATAATGCTACGTACTATCACCATTCTGGTATTTGAACTAGTATGCTTTTCTGATACTTGATACTTTATTGATGCCTCATAATATTTTGATATTTTTATTTGCCTTTTTTAATGGGCTTTGTATTAATCAACAAAAGAATGAATCAAATTAGGTTTTGCCCTTCACCGATGTATAATCACTGTATACTCAGTGTGGTACCTCCTGAGTAAAAGTTGGAAAAAAATCACTCGGGTGGGACTCAAACCCACAACCTCCTACTTTCTAGTGCAGACATCTTACCACTCGACCACCGAGCTGGTTGGTTCAAATCTGATGTACATAGCAGCGGGTACTGCATTAACTATTCATAAAATGGATAGTCGGTGAAGGGCAAAACCCAATTTGATTTACATCACCCCGATGCAAAATTCCATCTTAAGCCGTGTCCGCACTGGACTTTTTTTTTGGAAGGTTTTACCGAGATGATGGTAAAATGAGAAATGGTCAAATGTGACCACATCCGCACTTGGACTTTCGACATGGGAAATTTTACCCAGACCGCGTGGGAGAAGTGGCCGAGCTGTCACAGTCACGTGCACAGGAAAAATAATATGCCGATCACATTTTTTTTCAGCCCCCGATACGCACAGTATAATATTACACACACCATTAAAATGCACAATATAATCGTAACATACGATGTTATTTCATCTTGACACGATAAATCTTGACGAAAATGCCTACTATTCTGACGCATTAGTGATGGACGACATCGAAGCCATACGGCAGCAGTTCCATTGGTAATTGCTGGTTCCCACCGCATGCTAACAGAATCAAAGCTATGATGTAGGACCGGAACCAGGGACTGCGGCCTACGTACGGTGCCATGCAGACTGCACGGCGTAACAGGACGAATTTGGATCGTAGAAAATACAAAACAAACATTGGCGGAGAAAAAGAATAACTGCAAAGTATTTCCCAGAACGTGATCTTGATATTTTCTGTGAATGTATTCTCCGTTAAAATATATTTATAACGAGATTTTACCGCTCGGACTTGACACACCGCAGCGTACCGGTACGTGTTTCCACAAAATGTTGGGCCACATCACGTGTGGGATCGTGCGGTCTCTGTATGCATGATACTCGCGCTCGGGCCGGATCTCACTTTCCTGAGCGGCTTTTACCGACTCGCACTGTCCGCACTGGACTTATCGTCTCAGGAAAAGTGACCTGGTCAATTTTCCTGGGTGCGTGGTCAGTTTTGGCCAGTAAAAGTAACCGCTGGACTCAGGAAAAGTAACTGAGAGGAAAACGTCCTAGGCTGTCCGCACTGGACTTAAAATGGGAAAAGTACCCATAGTCTCGGTAAGTTTGACCAAAAAAAGTCCAGTGCGGACAAGGTTTTATAAAAGAATGAATGTTTTAAGATATGAATGGCTTTGTAAACTTTGCATTCATTCATCAAAAATTCACAAGTTTGTCAAGCCCCCTAGGACCATCTTCAAGTGGAATGACGTGGATGAATCCAAGCTGAAAAAATCTGTCCTCGAGCTTAAGACTGAATTCATGCAGTCATCTCCAGAAACCAGAACAGTTGAGGCAAATTGGAGTATTTTTAGGGACAGGCTGAAAACTAACGAATTAGTACCACAAAAACCAGTCCAGGGACATTCTAGACCCTCATGGCTCACTACTGTCCTAATCCGTTGCTGCAGGAAGAAAGAGCGCAGCTATGTGAAGGCAGTAACAAGCGGTCTACATTCAAACTTTTGCAAAAGCAAGTGAACAGCGAAATCCGAAGGGCTAAACGCACACATTTACAAGAAACTACATCTACAGATAACCCCCAGAAATTTTGGCGATACGTAAACAGCACTCGCAAAGACAACACAGGGGTTCAGGTTCTAAAACTCAACGGGAAAAATATCACATCTGACCAAGAAAAAGCTGAAACCCTACAAGACCAATTCTGTAGTGTTTTCAGCAGGGATGACACCGATGTGCAGCCAGTTCTACCACCGAGTCCCTACTCAGACTTGACAAACATCACCGTGTCTGTTAGCGGAGTCCTCAAGTTACTGACGTCGCTCAACTTGAAACTAGCTGCCAATGAAGTTGCCCCAGTACTCGCATTCATATTCCAACAATCACTTGACCTGGGTTCTCTACCATCTGACTGGAAGAAAGCCAACGTAACACCCATTTTTAAGAAAGGCTCTCGTGCAGACCCGGCAAACTACAGACCTGTGTCGTTGACCTCTGTTTGCTTTAAGTTATTAGTGCACATCATTGATAGCCAATAAATGAAACACCTCCAGGAACACGACATCCTGAATGAAAACCAACATGCTTTTCGTAAAGGCCTGTCCTGCAAATCCCAACTCGTAACAACTCTGGATGACATCTCCTACAATTACAATAATCAAATCACCACAGAAATGGCAGTACTTGACTTCTCGAAAGCATTCAACATAGTTTCTCATCAAAAACTGGTCCAAACATTAGACTACTACGGGATAAGTACTGACCATCGGTTAGTAATCTGCAACCTGAAGTGGAAATTCCGTCGTCATGCTACTGTACGTGGACTACGACCTCAACATCCAAACGTTGAAGCCCTGAAGTCGGAACAATCGTCTGAAGTCTTTCGGCAGCTGGTTCGATCCCGTGTTACTCAAGGTGACTCTCTTGAAGCTGTCGCATGTGTCATACACGAAGCATCTCTTGGGACCTGTGGTACACAAACATCCCAGAAGAAACAGCCGTACCTGTCTGAATTAACTCTTCATCTGATTCAGCGCAAGAGGAAGGCTGTAGGCACTCAAGAATTCACAGCTCTGAGGAATGAGGTCAAACATGCATAACAGAAAGATCTCAACGAATGGTTGGTAACTAATATCAACACATTGAACCAAGCATACCAGAATCACAATTGCAGAACTCTGTTCAAAACTGCTGATGTTCTCCTTCAGAAAACGGTCTGGTATTGGAGACAGCTGAAGAAGAAATACAGCATTGGCATCAGTATGCTGTAGATCTATTTGAGTCCAATCGGCCACGTCCACCCCATCACACAACTGAGGTTGAACGAAACCTGCCGACACCGGAAGAGACCAAGAAAGCCATACAGGCACTGAAAAACCACAAGGCTCCTGGAGTTGATTGCGTCACATCTGAAGCTCTTAAAGCTGCGACACAGGACCCAGAGATATTCAAAACCCTTCATGGGGCCGTGTGTAACATCTGGAACTCTGGAAAGTGGCCACAGTCGATGACCAAGTCAGTGTACATCCCGTTGCACAAAAAGAGTGACCGAGGCTTGTGCAACAACTACAGAACACTTGCACTAATCAGTCATGCCAGCAAAATTGTTCTGAATGTGATACAACGCAGACTGGAAAGAACCGCTAACATCGAAGTGAGTGACACCCAATGTGGCTTTGTAAGCGGTAAAGGCACAACTGATGGAATCTACCTCCTGAAAGGTGTGGCGGAATCGCACTACGCAGGAAAACGCCCTCTCCATCTGGTCTTTGTTGACTATAAGAAGGCATTTGATTCAGTTAATCATGCACTTCTGTTTGCAAAGCTACGATATCTTGGCGTGGAGGAGGATGTGATGCGGCTACTTGAGGATCTTTACATCAACTCAAATGGCAAGCTCCGGTGGAAAGGTCAGATGACAGACGAGTTTGAGACACCAGTCGGAGTACGCCAAGGCTGTCCATTGTCACCAACACTCTTCAGCCTCTACACTGAGTGTCTCATGTGAGAGTGGTACAATCGCACAGCACACCTAACGGCTCCAGATGTCAGTGGTATCCCCCTAAAGGAGATCAGATATGCTGACGACCTGGTACTGATGGCGCTGTGCAGAGCTGATGCTGAAGAGATGCTTACTACCCTGGGTGATATATCTGACGGGTATGGGTTAGCCATCCACCCTAGTAAGACTGTATATATGATCATCCAGCCAACAACCGATGACAGCACCATCACATACCGCTCGGCACAAATACCTCGTGTCACATCTTTCAAGTATCTAGGAGTGTTGATCGACCACACACTAGACGACAGCAAGGAGGTTCGGATGCGGTTAGGTATGGGCAGATCCACTCTTCCGCAGTGCAAGTATCTGCGCTCCCCCCGCATCAGCCTTGAGGTAAAGGTACAGCTTGCTCGGGCCCTAGTCATATCAAGGGTACTGTATGGTGCCACCACCCTGTCGTTGGAGGCAGCTGACATCAAACGCCTAGACAGTTTTGGCCGAACCATTTGGCGTCACCTGCTCAACATCAAGTGGCAAGATCATGTGACAAATGAAAGACTGATGGAGGTGATCGGCGACCGGTGGTGCTTCAGCAGTGATGGAACGAAAGGCAGCATGGTTGGGCCATGTGGTCCGGCATGGCGGCATCTGTTGTGGATGGGATGCCAGTGGGATGTCGTCGCTCCGTGGGCCGGCCAAAGATGCGCTGGGTGGACAACATCCGTGAATGGTCTGGGTGTGACACCAACGAACTGAAAGCAGCAGCACTGGAAAGACAGGCTGTGGTGGGAGCGGCGCCAGTGATCCCAACTGTGTATAATTTGAGGAGGAGACCACGGGCAAATGCCTATGTCTAACGAATGAATGAATGGGATAAGGGGAAAAACACATGGCACAACTCTCCTTTTCGCTGACGACTGCCTGTTATATCGGAAGATCTGCTCATCAACTGATGAACTGATGTTCCAAAAAGACCTGGACAACTTGGCTCACTGGGCGAAAACCTGGGGAATGAAATTTAACTCCAGCAAATGTAACATCATGCGAATCTCCGGGAAGCGGGACCCCGGCAAAACTAACTACACCATGTTAGGATCCAACCTCGTAGAGAAAACCAACATCACATATTTGGGAATAATCATTCAGAATAACCTAAGTTGGAATCACCAAACAGCACATGCCACTTCCAAAGCAAGTCGTATATTGAACTTCATCAAAATAAATTTTCATTCTGCATCCAGATCAGTCAAAGAAAAGCTGTACTTAGCAGTAGTCAGACCACACCTAGAATATGGCAGCATTGCTTGGAACCCTCACATACATGTAGCTAAGAACATAACATCCCTGGAAAAAGTGCAACTGATGAGGGCTGCTCGTTTCGTAATGCGAGATTATTCCAGACTGAGCAGTGTGACCGACATGTTGACAACCCTAGGCTGGTCTTCACTGGAAGAGAGAAGGAAAGTTAACCAACTTACCTACTAACATAATACACAACATAGTTCACATTAACTCATCATCCATAGTCCCCAAACCAGCACCGGCTCATAGAATTCACAACCACCAGTTCACAGAAATTGCAGCAAGGACAGACATCTATATGCAGTCATTCCTACCCAGAACTATCCGGAAATGGAACAAGCTCCCTCAAGACACCACAGACGCCCCAAACCACAACACCTTTAAGGATTTAATTTAGTTCCACTTCCCCAAGGCCTCCTTGATAGACTTCCACGTGGAGTATTCAGGATAACCACCAAGTACCAAGTACAGGTGCAATATTTTTATGAAATTGAACCCTCATTCCCCGAATTTATTAAAATTACCTGGAAAGCAACAAAACTATCTTGCAGCAAAATTAATTTCACTGGGTTAAAGTATTAAGTTTCCAATAAGCAAGAATGGACAAAATAACATGAATGAGATTACACTTAGCTGACCTGGCAAAGGAGCAAACGTCCTCACCAAGTAAAAGAATAACAAGTTACCTTTGGATTTGTCCTCCTCATCTTCATTGGGAATAGCATCCATAGTGATGGCCACATCTGTTGGCATCTTGACAACATCACCCTCTGTAACTGTGGTTGACGTTACCTCCCCAGTTGGGACATCATCAGAAGTTGGTCCCTGCTTCTCATCCATTTTGGTGTTATTACGTTGGACCAAAAACACACTGGAAATATAAAGAAACTGCACATAAAGCAGTTGTATACTATTGAAAGCCATGACCAGTGGGATATCTAGGGGGAGGGGTCAAAATTTGTCCCTGCTAATTTTGACTTTTTAGGACATATCATTTTCTGATGGCTGATAGGTCATTTAAGGGAAAAATTACGGCGATCGTGAAGTGTAGGGCCCCCGTTTTGTTTTGATCAAATTAGAATCGAAAATGTTTTTTATTGCTCAAAACTCACCTTTACAATCAAAAGCAGCCTTTTCTCAATTCTAATAACACCCATTTTACAATTTTGAACAGATTCTTGGGGTAGAAATCACGGTTTTCCTGCGCGGTTTGTACCTTGGGATTCAGCGCGCCTTGCATGCTCACGGAACATCGCGCGGTGATTGCAATCTCAAATTTCGGGTCGCATGTTGTCGCCGCGCCGTCATTGTCATTTTACCCCCAAATTTCCCTCAAAACATCAAAACCTAGCCCGACTGCGTCTGGCCGTACAGTACTATCGCAAGCTCTGTAGTACGGCCAGACGCCCGATGCTTCCAAAAAGACTGAATTTTGTTGGCCGCCGATGTAGCGATTTTGCTACATCTTTCGATCGCGATTATCTTTTCATCCAGGACACAAATTTCCAAAGTTAAGGTTCGTAGTCGTAGAGCAACTCATACCTTTTCGAAAAAACGTTCTTTGGTCTCAATATTTTCATCCATCTGGCCACAAGACGAATTTCAGTCATTAGATTCCACAAATATCGTCCCCCATGCGATCCCCCATGCGATTTCAAAATGGCGGCCGCGCTGTAATGTATGCAATATGCAGGCGCGCCCGCGCAAATCATGAATATATGCATAAACAGTCTGTGACGTATGACCTCGTGACGTATGGCCCCGCACGGGGCCGCACGCACGTCCAAAAACACGAGGTCATACGTCACAGACTGTTTATGCATATTCATGATTTGCGCGGGCGCGCCTGCATATTGCATACATTACAGCGCGGCCGCCATTTTGAAATCGCATGGGGGATCGCATGGGGGACGATATTTGTGGAATCTGATGACTGAAATTCGTCTTGTGGCCAGATGGATGAAAATATTGAGACCAAAGAACGTTTTTTCGAAAAGGTATGAGTTGCTCTACGACTACGAACCTTAACTTTGGAAATTTGTGTCCTGGATGAAAAGATAATCGCGATCGAAAGATGTAGCAAAATCGCTACATCGGCGGCCAACAAAATTCAGTCTTTTTGGAAGCATCGGGCGTCTGGCCGTACTACAGAGCTTGCGATAGTACTGTACGGCCAGACGCAGTCGGGCTAATCAAAACCCTGCCCTCTATCTATGACAAACCTGTTTATTGAGAATGTTGCAAACTATTATGGTAGGTCAAATAATTTTTAAGTGGATTTTGTTCCCCAAGTTATAGGAACCGGGCCCTGCACTTCACGATGGCCGAAGTATTAACTTAACTGTAGCTGGAGTTACCCAGCCCTAAATTTTATCATTGGGTTGTCATCTAGATGACAACCCAATGATACCCAATTGGGTGCTGGGTAACTCCAGCTAACTCAACTGAGAAAACACTTAAAAATTTTCAGACCAGTCTCAAAGGGTTTGTGCACAGGGTGGCAAGTGATGGCCAGATATGGGAATCTTTCCTTTAATGTTAATTGTTATTGTTAATTAAGCATCTCAAACTTTTCACGGTAATCCTTACTTTTAGGACACCTCTATTTTGTACGAGTTCTGTTCAAAACTGACTTTTGCAGATGACTGTCCAGTACCAAAGTGACTTTTGCAGGCTAAAGAAGTCTTTTTTCTTCAGACAAACTCATGTTAGTTATAATTTTGAAAGCACTTTCAAAGAAAATGTGACTTTCCTACCTTTTTTTGCAGTTCGCCATCTTGCTTTTTAAATTTATTTTCTGTTTGTCATCGTCGTCTTTAACCCCTCATAAATCAAAACCCTGCCCTCTTTCTACAAAATTAAATCTGCTGATATTCAAGAGGTGTCATTGCCAAATGTTCAAATGTGTCAATAAATATCAGAATGTCACTTTTGTGTGTCATAGTCAGCTGTTTTGGTGAGTCTTTTAACCTTATAGGAAAGGGGTCCTAAAAGTAAGGATTACCATTTTCACGAATGAGATACCACGCTATTGAATACAAATAATAAACGCAGTACGTCTATCAAACTCAAAGTATCATGTCCGATATGGCCACTTTTTGCAGTACGTTTCAGTTTCACTAAATAAAATAATGCAGATTTCACCAATAGCTAATATAAACAACTAAATTAATGTTATCATTTATTAAATGGTTAGATAAAATTATCTACTGATACTGACCAAGAAAGTGACACAGGCAACAGGTTTCGGCCACTCGGAAGACAGCGCCAGATTTACAGTCGCGTGTTTATGTTGTTGAATGCTGCCCTCATGTTTCGTTCGATTGGCATGCAAGCTCTTTCGAAACATCGGCCTCCATCGCAGGTCCCTACTGCTTCAGCTTCATATATTGAACTGGTATCCTCTTTTTTTAACGAGACGCATACGTCTTCCATAACGGAAGCTCAACAATATTTATTTGTCTATTATTATTTGACAACTCACGCTTTCTGGGTAGCTGTGTGGAAATTTCATAATCTTCTTAAATTTTTATAGTAGACGAAGCCGCAGCTGGGAATGAATCGAATTTTTAAAAACTCTTTAAACCCATGTTCTCTTTTTTTTCTGGAGGGCTAGGCCGGCGCTGTTTACGCAACTCAAGTAAGTTTCCACAGGGAGAAATGGCTTTAAGGGAAATAAATAAGCTGTTTACGCTGAACACTAGTTTTTCAGTTTTTCCCCTTGACCAGTTTGAGTGGCTCTTCACCAAGGTAATGAAAGTCGAAGGAGCGTCAATAGAGTTAGAGAGGGGCTATGTGCAAATATTATGTTGGACATTTTACAAATCCCCGGGAGCATCAAACTAGGCCTATATCTATACTAATAAAAAAGTAATAATATAGCAGTGTTGAACCCCACCGTACAGGAGCGACACAAAATATTGAATTCTACTTCGAATGCTGGAGGGAACTATATGCTTAAATGTTTCCAGTGACGGGTGCATATGTAAGTAAACACTAAATGAAATGTTTTTTGTGGCTATAACTTTGCCAATAGAAATAATTATTAACAGACTTTTGTCTAAAAACTGTTGAGATACTTTGGACAGTATTTTTACCTATGAAATATAAATGAGGTTGATATTTGTTTCACACAAGTAAAGAATAATAAAAAAAGACTGCCGAAAAATTTAAATTGATTAAACACAGCGTCACTGTAGCTCACCTATTATTACTGCATTTCACTGCCAACCTGGTTCGCTACAGTGGTGAAGCAACAACTCACAAATAATTAAGATACCTGAAGTAGTCAAAACAAAACTAGATAGACACAACATTTTTTAATCATCCTTTTTATACAACTCGGCAGAAAGTCCTTAATGCCTGGTGAACTGGATAAAAATTGCCACTTGAAGGAGTTTAGGCAACACAAAAAGAGAAATTTCCCATTCCGCGATAATAGGGATGCTGCGATAATAGGGAGTCCGACTAAACTTTAAAAATATAGCAACGGCATACTAAAGTTATATTGCAAATGTTTCTATTTTGGGAGAATCTGTATACATTTGTAAAATGTTATGTAATTGGCACACGGAAGATTTTCAGCAAAACATTCTCGGAACTCTTTCCATGCATAGGATTTAACTAAGCTTCTTAGACTTTCGACAAAAGTATATTATAATATTTGTGGATTTATTTTATTTACCTCCTATTTTCAATTATGATATGATTTTAAATATTATGCATGCAGTTGTTTTTACCAAAGTGGAAAGAAATTCATTTATTTCATATATAAACAAACGCGCATTTAATAACAATGTCGGATGACAAATCCACATTGGTTTAGGAAGTAGGACACAATGGAGACTTTCGTGGCAGCCAATTTGACTCATCTGCAGACGATGACGTTCTTGGTGCTTCCTTGACGTTCGATATTGTTCAAATTATTTTTCTATGTAGTTAATATTAGTCATTCTTTCAATGTTAAAGTCCACAACTGTGTAGAATTTAGTTTATGCAAGAAAAAAATTGGTCCAAGTACTAAGTGCGCAAAAAATGGCCAATGTTTTTCTACATCACTACCTCGTGTTGGTTCAGCATCAGAGGTGACGGAATGTTGCCACCTAACGCTGCTTTTTCCTTCGTATATCATCTCAATGAAGGTCAGTTATTGCAAAAATGATGATATATTGATAAGACATGAATCTTGGACTGAGAAACATTTCCAATTTTGTTAGGAAATACTTAAAAAATTCTTGACTCTCCATAGACTTTGTACACAACTGCAGAAGTAGCATCAGGTTGCAACATTCTTTCCGAGGTGACTGTTGGCTCCCCAAGAAAGCCTTCTAAAACCTCTTCCACCGCCTCAAAAGAGATCCCATCTGCGAGTGGTTTCTTTGTTAAATGTTTTATGCCTGGTTTTTATGAACTACCACTTTGAAAACTGCTGTGAAGATTTGGATTCGAGTAGAAAATGAGATTTTCTACTGATTTTATTGGCGTAGCCGTTTTATACATTCACATTTTTTTTACATCACACATGTTTACTTGACAGTTTTTCTCATGTTTTTTTTTTCGCAACTGTAGGCGCATCCATCAGTGCGGATGAAAGGCGCTGAGGCAGACTGGACGCCCATACAATGCACAGACAGGGAGTGTAGCCACTCCTTGATGAAGGCTCCGCATCTGCACTGTCCATTCTGCTCCCAGGACAGTCTCTTCACTGATGAGATTCTCCTCAAGGCGCACTACAGGGTCAAGCACGTGGATAAAGGCATCAACTTTGGGGGTGAGTTTGCATTTGGGAACAAGACCAAGCGCTCGCATACATGTGACTGGATCCCAAGAAATATGTTTTAGGTTAAGCCAAAGGACAATGTTTTTCACTTTCTCTTCACAGGTCATGCTACAAGATGACTTTTAAGGTCCATGTGAGTTGAATGCAACACTTGTCTAAGTGACAAGCCTGCCGAGTGCAGCAAGATCCATCAGGTCAAAAGTCTGAAGGCCAAATTGCCTCCGAGTCTGTGGTCCTCGAACGCAGCAGGAACCAACTGAGGCATTGTTCAATGGGATTAGCTCTCATTGTTTCAGAACTGGCCGTTAATGCACTGGTGTTGATAGCTGAAATGCAGCAAAGTGCACCAGACTTTTCCACCTGATGCACTGTGCTGCATGTGGCTAGGGTTAATTAAGATAAGTTGAAGGTAGTGGACAGCAGGACAAGAAAGTGGAATTTGTGGAAGTTTTATGAAATTGACAGATACATGTACCTGGGCTGGTTATTCTTAGCAGATACCAGTGTTTGATAAACTCAATTGTCACAGGCCATGCCCAAGCGCCGGCTGTGTCTCAGGAAAAACTTTGCATCCGGCCTGCCTGAACAAGAGTCCTAACTCAGGCCAATAGCTTACTTGTGCCTGTTACAGCAAGAGAACCATATAAAAAGATCCATAGTTCATGTTTTGTCAAAGTGCATATAGCTGTCAGCTTTTGTCAAAATTGCCAAACCAATCCTCTACTGTATCCCTCCCCAGGTCTTAAAATGTTGCGGTGTTGTAGATCCTGCATCGTCCACGGCATCATTCACGAGCAGAAATACTTCAAGGGTGCCCACTAGCACTGCTACCACTGTCGCAACGGGTTCAGCAAGAGGGACGAGGCTATGAAGCACTACCAGCAACACTTCCGTAATCCAGAGACCACAATACAGATAGTTATTACTCGGGTACAGTATGTCATGGTCAATTTTACAATCATGTACTTCATTTTATCCCAGTGGGCACATCAGACTGCACGTACAATACATGTAAACCACAATTCATAAATACCTATGGCAGTTTATCCATTCCTATTGGTCGAGAAGCCGCCATGTGGCCGGTCTAAAACGGATGATAAAGACATGGCTGGCTGGTCTTCAACTCTTTTCCAGTCTCACTTGAAATTTTGGCTCCTATGAAATCCAGTGCCTCTTCCATTTTATTGGTCCTCACGTAGGCATGCGCAATGCTACCAGTGAGTCAGTATTTCATAGTCCTAAATTCACAACGCAACGCCCCAGGTGCGTTTTGCATGACATCGCGCAGTATGTGCGACGCATGTGCCAATCTCCAAAAAAGGAGTTGTTAACATCTTACTCGCAAGCTGGACACTTCATTATTTAGCTAAAGAGGGGTGTTAAAAAAACATGAAGTGAACTTGTTGAGCAAAATCAGGTTTTTATGCCCCGCGGCGAAGCCGAAGGGGCATACTGTTTCCGCCTTGTCCTTCCGTGGGTGGGTGGGTGTGTGGGTGTGTGTGTGGGTGGGTGGGTGAGTTTGTCTTACATACGCAGTGTGGACTTCCGAACAAAAGACGTCCACATAATGTAGGTAGCACCGACGTTGTGTGGACTTACCCCACGTCCACACAGTGTTTCCCCATTTCTGGAAAACAGGTTTAGAGGCATTTTTGGGTTAGGTTTATCTGTAGCAGAATGAAGAGAAACACTAAAGGGAATCATAGAAAAAAAATTGGGTTGAAAGAGTTTTCACAGTTTGAGAAAAATGAGTTTTTTCACTGGTTTTTCTTAACTACACGAAAGCAATGGAAAGTCCACACTAGTCATGTGAAACAAGTATGGGTGTGTGGGTGTGTGTGTCCGGACAAATCTTGTCAGCGCGATAACTTGAGAAATACTTTACATATGAACTTCAAATTTGGTTTGTGGATTGTCCTTGGTAATCCTAAGAAGCCTTTTGCATTTGGGGCCGAAAGGTCAAGGGTCAAGGTCACAGTGGCTAAAACAATAGAAATTTTGTCAGCGCGATAACTTGAGAAATACTTTACATATGAACTTCAAATTTGGTTTGTGGATTGTCCTTGGCAATTCTAAGAAGCCTTTTGCATTTGGGGCCGAAAGGTCAAGGGTCAAGGTCACAGTGGCTGAAACAATAGAAATTTTGTCAGCGCGATAACTTGAGAAATACTTTACATATGAACTTCAAATTTGGTTTGTGGATTGTCCTTGGCAATTCTAAGAAGCCTTTTGCATTTGGGGCCAAAAGGTCAAGGGTCAAGGTCACAGTGACTAAAACAAAAGAAATTTTGTCAGCGCGATAACTTGAGTAATACTTTACATATGAACTTCAAATTTGGTTTGTATATTGTTCTTGGTAATCCTAAGAAGCCTATTGCATTTGGGGCCGAAAGGTCAAGGGTCAAGGTCACAGTGGCTGAAACAATAGAAATTTTGTCAGCGCGATAACTTGAGAAATACTTTACATATGAACTTCAAATTTGGTGTGTGGATTGTCCTTGGCAATCCTAAGAAGCCTTTTGCATTTGGGGCCAAAAGGT